ACATGGAAGTCAATGAGGATTTGCTCTCATCTGCTGCCAAACCCAAGCGGATGAGGGTGGAACTACAATTTTTGCCACTTCCTTGTTGGCTTCAAATTTGCTGCAGAATTATGGGGGCTTGTTTCTCTTTCTACAGTCTCTGATTAAAACACAATGATTAAAAATAACGACTACAATTGAACAGACAAAAAGTTACAATCATGTAAGATGGAATGTTTAGTAAACTTTTAGTTTAAAAATAGCTCATAAAAGTGGGTCACACTTGGGTAAAAGAAACAAAAAAGTTATAATGAAATAGAAAAATCATAGTTTACTCTTCATTAAAAGCTAACACATGGAAATGTGTCTGTAATAATGTTTTAAAATGACCCAGAGTCTGAGTCATCTTAATGTTCACTTAAGAGTCCATTCCACAATCTGAAACCCACCACTGAAAAAGCCCGATCACTCCGGGATCCCAGCTTTATTCTGAGAACCACCAGATGATTCTGAATGCTGGATCCCAGATCTAGTGTGGGCATGAATCGTAAAAAAGATGAATAAGTAGGGGCAGCAGGACCATTAACCGTTAAATTACAGAGAGCCAGTGGGACTCCCAACACTTCTGGGACTCAACAAGCAGCTGTGTTTTGTAGTTTTCACATATCCAGAGTATTTCATGATTTTACTGTATTTTTTTAGTAAAAAGTGCATCATAATGCTAATCCAGATTATGCGCTTTGTTATTTTAAGGATTTCCCCCCCCTAAAATCCAGGTTACAAAAAAAATTATCTTTTGATTATGCTAAATGGACACCTACACTATAACCAGAATTAAAACATACATGTACCGGTAGTTTAGATTTTTAGAGAAAAGCTGGGCAAAATATCTCATAATGCTGATCCAGATTATGCATTTGTTATATTTTCAAGAATTTATTTCTCAGAAACGCATAATCTGGATAGGAGTTAATTTGACCTGCTCAAGCCACAATCTCAGAAAGGCGCTCTGACTCCCTCATACTTTATTTTATATAGATAGAGCTGAAATTACACCTGTAGCTGCTGTAAAATATGATTATAACCTTCAAAACATATCACACAGGCTGTTGGAGACTGAAAACTTAAGCTGGAAAACAAACTAAGGGCAAAATAAAATCTGGATGAGAAAAACGATGTTTATTGACTGCAGTTGATCTTAAATGCCTGACTGAAGGGTCGAAAAGTAGGCTCATGTATTTCATTTGAGTAAAATTATAGCCTTAGGCTCTCTGTAAATTTGATAGTTGACTTATTCTGTGAAACAGCTAATTTTGAAAAGGGAAAAAAAACAACAACAACAACAAAAAAAAAAAAAAACAGCTGCTGCGGAGTTGTAGTCCATTTCCAGCTGTTTCCATTTTCCAGAACCATCAAGATTGCTTTTCCCACCATTCCCACCGGTGCAGATGCAGGTGAAGGTTGCAATCATAGTTGAGGATTTCTCCCGCCACGCGGGGGCGCTGTTGTCACCGTCTCGCGTTTATCATCCCGTGAAGCAGGTGCCAACCAATCTTTGCTAGATTATAATTTCCTTACTTTTGAGTAGGACGTAGTTTTAGTAACATGTTATTCCGAGCGGGAGAATCCTGGCCAGCAACGTTTCCAGCCGGCACACTCATAGATCTTTTTAGCAGCTATTCCTTTTAAACCTATGCGTTTAGCCTCGGTGCTAACAAGAAGGAGCTAGCATAGGCTACACGTCGATGGCTCTGTTGTTTACATCTCATTCAGAGGTAACGTTACAGCTGAACAGTTCCACATTTGTTTTACGGGAGTTTCGAATAAAGTTATAAACATTAGCTGTTCATGTATTGAATGCAACCGACACATGCTTGTATCTGCTGCTTAGTTAGCATCACAAATGTCAAGATACCGTTAGTTTTTGTTAGCATTGCTTGAGTTTAAGACACCATACACATGGAAGTGGGCTTAAAGTTAGGAATGTTATAGCGTCCGTTCTTTTCATCTGGATGCCATTTGCTTGAAAAGCAGTCAACCTTAGACTTTAAAACGGTTTTGTCTAACAAAAGAGCCTCATGGAGTCTGTTAGGAGTGCTTTCCACGCTCAGCTGGCCACCGTCATGGACTCTCTGCTGGCAGCCGCTGTGTGTGAGATCGCCAAGATCTTTGAAAGCAGCCTGTGTGAGCAGCAGGCTGAGCTGGCACACAAAACCGAGGAGATCTCCATCCTCCGGTGCAGGCTGGAGAAACAGGAGAGGAGGCAGAGAGCGAAGGGAGGAGGGAGTGAGGAGGGTCAGGTATCAGAACGACAAGAGGGTATGAGACAACAGACAGGATCAGGTAGGACACAACTTTATTCTTCTAAAGAACGTAGGCAGTTAATATTTATTTCAGTTATTTTTGACAAGATCAGTTCACAATTAGCACCAGGAATTGCAAAAATGAACTGTTTTTATTTTCTTTTTGAAACAGAACTGAATGTGGAAAAACCTGCATCTTCTGATTCAGACCCAGAGGAAGTATTCAGCACGTTGAAAGAGGAGGTTACAATGCAGGATGGGGCTTCTATAAAACATGAGGTCGGATACTTTCCCTTCATGTGATGAAGGGTCTCAGAATGACATGTGCGTCTCGTTCATATATGTATATTCAAAACTTACTATTTTAAATGTATTTTTATACAGCATGCTGGTTCCCAAGACACAGATGGAATCCTGACTACAGGAGACAACAAACAGGTTGAAGATCTGTCTGCTACACAAACGGAGACTAAAGGTGAAAAAGGCACCTCCATTAGTATGCATTGTAGTTGTCAGTGTGCTACATATATTTTTTTCTTCTAATTTTTCTGCAGTATCTAACTGGAGTGAAAGCAGTCACAGCACAGACCACAGACCCCACCAAGATCAAGCCTCTGCTCCTTTTGTATCCATTTCCCAGAGCGGACGTTGTTCTCCCACAACTGATCCCAGTCTACCTCCACCAGGAGAGTGGTTACCAGGCCTGGGCTCTGCTCGAGGAGGTGTGTCAGGTCTAGATAACCTGCAGACAGACTGCATCAGCTGTTTGGCTCCAGCTAGCTGCAGCACCGAGTCCTCATGCTTCCGACCTGGTTTCAAATCAGATGAGACCAGCAATGAAGCCGAGGAAAACGCTTTCCAGTTTTTGGACCGGGAACGTGAAAACCGACACTCCAATCAGAACACAGATCACAGTCGGGACGTGGAACAGAAAGGGACTCAGTCAGACCACCTCCACGTTCCCTCTGGTGAAACAGCATGGCAGACGGGAGACGTCAGGGCTGTGAGAAATCCCAGCAATCACACACGACGGATCACAAACTTTGGTAGCAGAAATCCACTGCGACCTCAGTCAAATTCCTCATCGCTCGCTGCACGACCGTTAAGCTCTCTCATCCACCATCCAGCTCCTGGTGGAGGTAATGGACGACCTTACTCCTGTCCGTACTGCACAAAGTGTTTCACCTACCCTTCCCATCAGCGCAGACATCTTTTACGGCACACTGGAGTCAGACCGCATCCCTGTCAGTTTTGTGACAAGAGCTTCCTGACCCCATCGGAACTGACTGTCCACACTCGCACTCACACTGGAGAGAGGCCGTTTGGCTGTGCTCAGTGTGGGAAACGCTTTGCACGCAGTGGCAACATGAGAGCCCACCAACGAGATGTCCACATGGGGAAGAGGCCCTTTGCTTGCACGGAGTGTGGAAAAAGATTTTCCCACAGGGGGAACTTGAGAGTGCACAACCACAGGGTCCATCAAGGAGACCCGTACTACATTGATGATCAGCCTGAGCCTGACTTGGACCCAAATGCTATTTAAAACCTGGCTAAGCAAGCTGAACGAGTCCACTTTGTAGCATATATCCACATATTAATTATGACCAATAAGATGTGATTATTCCATATAAATATGAAATATCAATCTGATTGATCTTTGAATGTTTAGTCAGAAGAGTCTAGGGTTCTTTGCTTCTTTAGGGACCATAAACACACTTCGTATTAATTCAGACAGTCAGTATATAGTTCAGGGGTCGGCAATCCGTGGCTCTGGAACCGCATGCGGCTCTTCCATCCATCTGATGCGGCTCTCTGTGCTTGTAAAATAATGAATGGATATTTAAATAAAATGCTTTATATTTTACTGCATTAATTTTACATCTGTAAGCCAATTCTAAATGTAAAGATTGTCTGCGTAAACCTGAACAGTTCCAACCTGGTCTTACTGTGAGACCGGGTTGACGGGTCACGCTTGTGCGTAATCATAAGCGCTTCCTGAGCTGACGAGGATGTGAGATTCTGGGATTCTCCTCAGACAGGCTCCTGGATGTGCCGCCACATTGGAGACAAGATCAAGCACTATTCAGCCAAAGTTTCATAATCAGGGAACACTTTCTAAGTGACAAGTCTCGCTTCAGTCGGAGGAATCTTCCTGCATGCGCTCTGGTTCTACGACGCGCTCCAAGCCCCTCTCCACATCTTCAGCTCGCTGTGCACCGTACGTACACGCTGACAGCGAGCTGCGCTGAGCAGTGTCCAGCTCAGATGTTCAGATGGGAATTTTTTCTTGAGTGATTTAGCTACATCTGCGATGTGCGTAGAATAAAATGTCAGTTCGTCTGCATGCGTCGGGGTAATTATTTCTATTCTTCATTTTAAAAAAAACGGTCAAATACGGGAACTATCCGGTCAACACAACACAAGCCCTGCTTTTAACTGTTCTGTTTTCTTGTGAAAATAGATCAAATTAAACTTGATTAACACCAGAGCCAGGCGCACTGCGCCGTTGTCTCCGTCACTGTAAAAGAGGGAAAAACAAAATGATCGGATCCTTTTCTGACCATCCCCACCTACAAGGTTTAATTACAACAATCAAACGTGACAGAGCCTGGATTTGTATTCTGAACAGTCTAAACATGTTTTAAAAAGAAACGTATGACAAAAGTGGCACCTGCTCAGTAAAACCACCAACAGGGTGAAAAATATCAAAATATTGTAGCAGAGACGGGCTACAACTTCTGGATCCATTTTATAAAAGTCATTTTATTGATTATCTTCTTATGAAAGATAACTTTGACGTACACGAGCGACCGGTACCGGCTGCTATTACCTGTTGTGAGCAGCTCTCTGCTGTCTGAGGGTAGGCCCCGCCCACAACGCCGCGGCTGCTGTGGCTCCCAGTGTTTTCTTTACTGTGGGAAATGGGTAATAATGGCTCTTTGATGGGAACAGGTTGCCGACCCCTGGTATAGAAAAAAGGAATTTTATTCTTTTCTCAACTAATGATTATACATGACAAGATATGATTAATGAGATGCGATGGAGTGGAAATGCGGTGATGGAATGTGATGTGTGAGGTGGTGTGATGTAAATTAGATGTTTATTAGAATCTTTGTATCTGAAAGAAATTGTGAAATCTTGGTGTTAATGAATGTGTTGTCTGCTATAAACTAGAGAGTTGATTATTGATGAAACAGCATCAGACGCAACCTGTTGTGTCTACAAACCCTGGCGGAGACCCCCAGCAGATCCGGACTGTCAGAAGTCGGGTGGACCTCATGGCACCTGAAGCCAGTAGATTAACTTGGGCTGCATGGTGGCGCAGTTGTTAGCACTGTTGCCTCGCAGCATAAAGGTTGCAGGTTCAAAACTCGGCTGCGGCCTTTCTGCGCGGAGCTGCGTGTTCTCCCCATGCATGCGTGGGTTTCCTCCGGGTACTCCGGTTTCCCCCACAGATCACAACATGCCCTATAGGTTATAAATTGTAAGTCACTTTGGATAAAAGCATCTGCCAAATAAATAAACATAAACTTAGATACGACCCAGCCAGTCTTGAGATGTCTCCAGGTCACAACAGTAGCTGGAATGCTTGTCTGCATCCAAAGTGGATGTGGCTCTCAAGGAGCCGTCTGGCTGTGTCAACTTGCAGCATGCAAACAGGTTGACTGTATGTCAAAAGAGATGGCTCAAGGATGCTTGTTCCGATTTGGCCGGTTCGAAACTGCTCAAACCTGAATTACTCGGGGAAGTAGTTCCTGTTTATTAAACTACTTTGCCATGATTTGCGGCCTTTCTGGCAAATCAGAAAGTACCATGTCTAGAAGGCTTTACCTCAGAAAGCCACGCCTTCCTTCAGATACAAGATTCTTAATTTTGTGAATAAAGAATATTTAAACGTTATGTCAGGTGAACCTTAACCTTAATTTGTATCTTATGAAGATGTGTATGAGTGTAGATAATGATTAACTTGTTAAATCAAACGCTGATAAGATCTGCAGTAAGAACAACATTCATTTCAACTTCATTGATTCAAGCACATATTATTCAAAGATTTCCTTTAAACATCTTGTTCATTCATCACATATGATTATTTAACTTATAAGTTGTGTGGATTAAATTTTATTCTGAGTGAGGAATCCAGCAGTCTGACTTTTAGCAGAGAGACGAGGCTTTTGCGGGAAACCTTGACAGTTTATTTATGTCTGCGTTGAAGAACAACAAGTGAGCAAAAGCTTTGATTTGTGCGTCTGGATCCTCCAGCTGGCGTAACCTTGACTTTGCAGCTCTGGCGCGTATGAAAGGTTACTGTGTCAATTCAGTGGTGAAAATAGACCCTTTTTATTCATTACACTAGACATTAAACTGAGGGAACACTTAAAACTGTCCTAATGGCACCCATCGTAGACATTTGGGAAAAAAATAAATTCCCACACATGGAGGGATTCAATTCATGTTATTTGTGAATAGAATTTAATCACATGCAAGATAAAAGTATTCAAACAACTAAATGTTGTAATTTAGGTATTCATATAGGATAAAGGAAATAACTTGGAATTACATTTTTTTAGATCTAGTAGTAGATTTGCTTTTCATGAAGAAAACAGTTACAGCTACGGTTTAGTCTGATTCCATCCTCACTTTTGACAGTTTGAAATGTATAAATCATTGAAAATCACACAAAAAATCATCCCTCTGAAATAAATTAACTTTTGTACCATATTCTAATTTCAAGTTTCATCTTAATTTACTCATCTACTGGCTCTTTAATGTAATATCCATTTGCACAAAACAATCTGTCAGTGACTACTTTTACTTTATTATAATGAGTATCATGTAGGCCTCATTACTTCTGTGCCAAATACAACTCTTATTTTCACTAATTAGTTTGTGTTCATTTTCACATTCAAAATAGAAAACCTCCAATTTAAAAGGTATTTCATAAAACCTGACTGTTCAGCTGTTAAATGACAATATTTTATTCATATTACCCCAAAAGGAGCAGATGCATTTTTCTGGGTGTTGATGTGAGCCATTAGTGGATCATTCATGATGTAAATAGTTCCAAAACATATTTTGACTGTGTTGTGAAATAAAACTCATTTATTGCAGTGAGTAGATGATACTAACGTGAAAGAGGAACAGTCTTTTCACTCTGTTTAGGCTAAGGGAAATAAAATTATACTTAAAAACATTTGTAGTTGTTTGCTGTCCGACACTAGGGGGCAGTGTGATACATATTTATGTGAAATATTAATGTTTTCAACTGTAGTCTATTGAAACATCCGAGGTGTTATACTAAGCACATGATGGCTAAAGAGAAGTAAACACATTAAAGGAGCATATTAAATAACACAACAATTAATATACAACAATAAGTTAGTAGGAATTAATTGAAGGGGGGGGGGGGGGGGGGGGGGGGGGGGTGCATCATTTCCAGGAACCAGAAGTGATCACTTCCAACTGTGTGCCCTACAGTTGCATGTTCCCAGCCATTGGTGCAAGGGTGTAGGTTGTCCCAATTCTCAAGTGCAGAAGGTGACCACACCCCTTTTGCACCTTTGATCTGCACATCGCCCAAGTCTGCATTGATGCTGACTTCAGGTAAGGGTATTACCCACAATCCCATGGACGTAATTTTGGGGGGGAACAGGGGGGACATGTCCCCCCCCCCCTTTTTCCAAAGTCAAGTTTTGACCCCTGCACTTTTTACCATCCAAAAACAATATTACGCTATATTAAAGTGACACTGGTTGAGCTCTAGGACCAAGCGGAAAACAACCGTTTGTGTTGAAGCCTGTTTCCCATTAGAGCATGCTCTAAAGATACCACCCCCCCCCCCCCGTGTCTCCCCCACTTCTAAAGTGAAAATTACGTCCATGCACAATCCAGTGCTATGTGGGAATTTTGAGAGCAAGGCAGAACAATGGCTCAAATGCCTTTTCTGAAAATCTGCATTTTCAAATGAAAGACATTCATTTTAAAATAAATATTGATATTTATTTACGAACTGAATGTTTTAGGCTTAAGCTGGACGTACACTGTACTTTTCCCCTCGTGCGATAATCTACAAGAATGGGGCTAGGTTTGCTCTGAGTAGTATACAGGGGGTTACATGAGGCAATTAACACCACGTGACCAGCTACCGATCAGCGATCGTAAGCTCGCACAAATATCTGGCGTGTTTGATACTTTGTCCGCCTGCCGGGAGGGCATCGCACTGTTGAAGTGGTGCTTTGAGCAGCTGTAACCCAAAAAGTACCAGAACTGCTCATGGTGCATGTGCAAACATGCGTCGACACGGCTTGCCAGCTATTTCCCTATTAACACACGTGGTTTGTTTTTACTTATACACTTTTTACTCGCACACAATGACAGGAATTGTCAAGAAAGCGTGTTTGTCAAATTCAACTGATAAAACATTGTTTTACTTTCTTTCGTCTTCCTCATCCAACCTCCATAAATCTCTGGCTGCCCTCCTACAGCAATCTCGAAGGAGAACAGACATCAATAACAACACAAAAAAGTCTGACATGTTGAGTAAAAACGGCTATTTTTAGCATATTATTAGGTCTGACGTGTTGCTACCAGACATACAGTGTGAGCAGTCAGGTCGCATCCAAGAACTGGGTCGTACAGTATGAGCATGACTCGTGAGATTTGCTCTGCCAGGAAGTCGTACAGTTTGAGCTGAAGCTGACAGCTCTGAGTGAAAACGTCGCAAAGTATCCGCCTTAACCCTAACCCGCCTGGCTTAAGTTTTAATGTGGACAGCGATGAGTGTAAATTTAGTCAAATAATTGTTTGAAAGATTTTTTTAAATGTAGGACAAACAGTGACCAGCATCCCAGCATGTGTTGCGGTCGATGACACAATGCTCTCTGTCCCAAATTTGGCCCACTTGTGTACTGTGCACTCAAAGCCTTACTGTACTCCTCCTTTTCGATGCGAGTATTGGGGTTGGGCCTGAGCTTCAGAGAGTAGGATTTCGAGTCTTATTTCCTGATATCTGGACATCTTGCCTCGAATAACATCCAAGCTCCTCTACCACTGACTTGCAAAGTGGATGCCTTATCTCCACAAATAAAACAAGCCTGGAGGAGCTTCTGCTGAGTGGTGGAGTTGCGGATGGTAATGGTTAGCTTCTGCTAGTTGGGACGTTCTCTGCTGTTTGCTGGATGCTAAACCAACAACAGCCTTCCCTGTCGTGAACTAAGATGGGTGAGTCCCTGAAAGACGTAGATCTGTCAGTAAATTCACATCCTAGATTTTCACTGTCTATTTTCTATCAGAAGCTGATGCAGGAGAGTGGTGTAGAAGACTATATTCATGTTCAGCCGGCATGAAGAATTCAGAGTGACTGATTTTAATCAGAAATAAGATTTTTACAATGTTATTTTAGTGTTCCAAACCTTTAATATCACAACAGGCTGGTTGCACCAGTTCTCCCGTACTCCGATAGAAAGAGTTAACATGTATATTATACATTTTTAGTTTTACCCCAGTATGTCCTTGGAAGTGTTAAATGGCTTTGTGTGTGCAGGATGATGAGTCCCTGTCTCTCATTCTGTCTTTCACACTCATCATCTCAGCTGCTGAGCGTGCTGCAGCCAGAGTCTGAGCGTGTATTCCCTGAGCTGCTGAGTCCGTGGTTTGTTCTCAGAAAGATTACATTCAGTGACCTCCCCTCCCCCTTAAAGGTCACCTGTGTGCACCTCTCTTTACGCTTACACAAAAAATAAACTGATCAGAGGGATAGGGCAAAGAGACTAAAAGATTATTGTTTACACAACTCAGAGTTTTTAATTCTTAAATCCTTTGACTCTGATTGTGTGTGTGTGTGTCCTGTTAATGTGAGAGGACTTAATCCCTATACTGAGTGAAGCTGCAGGTTCATACAGACTTTGAGTGCACATATACTCACTGTATTTGTGTTATTAAAGCAGCTTTAATCTTTGCACAGATTTGGGTCTCAGACAAACACACGTGTGTATGTAGTCGACTTACAGAGTGTGTTAACGTGTCTATGTTTAGCTGTGTGTAATCTACTTTCTGGTTAAAGCAGCTTTATCCCAGAGGAGGAATAAAACAGTTGATCATTCTGGGGCCACTTCGGCGAGGTGACTTTGAGTCAGAAATTCAGACTAAAGGCAGAAATATTTGTTACATTACATTATTTGAAGTGTTTTGAATCAAATTCTGTTGACTCCATATTTATATTGAATTTATATTGAATCCATCTTCAGATGAAGCTTCTTGCCACTTATGCTGTCTTTTTATTTTATTTATTTGGATGGATGGATCTCTCCTGTCAGATTGCAGTTTTACTGCCAGAAAAAAAAAAATCATATATATAGTCACCATCCTGTAATCCACCCCAGTTAAATGATCCCATGATACCCACTAATGGCACACTCCATCATGTAAGATGGGAGGAATTCCAAACATGCGAGTATTTGCAGACCCACTCTTCTGTGTTTTATGCATGTCTTTGTCATAATTACATATATTTGTTTGCTTATGTTAGGGCTGTAAGGGATTTAGAGTTGCCCAAAGGTTGTTTATAATCCACCCAGTCGCATCACTCCCCAGGGTGTTGTGGTTTCACATGTGATACCATTAGTGTACTGGACCCCCCCTCCTTCAGGGAATTTCAGCTCTGTCTGCTGCTCAAGGCACTGGTTGATCCATCGTCTGTGACTGTATTTAAGCTCTCACTTCATGTGCTAATACTGTTGGACTGCAGAGACACTGCAGAGCTCTTAACTTGCATCTTGCAAAGCCAATTTTTAAATTTTTAAATTTTTTTTAGCCGCGGGTGTTAGATTCATTGAAGGCTGGTTAAAAGTGCAAATCATTTAGTGAAGTGCTGGATAAGGGCTCAGAATGCTGATGTAGGAGCAATTTCAGCTCACACCCATGGCTGTTTGGGGTTTGTTTGTGTCTCCTTGCAGTATATCTTGGTGGCTGACGGGTCTGGGTGGAGGGTGGAGTGGAACAAGATTATCCTCCTCCTTTCTTCAGATTTTCAAATGTGTGTTTGAGAAACCGCACGTTTGGGTTAGCGTTCTCCATAGGCTGCTGGTGGGTTGCTAAGCAACCCTACGTCTGCTGCACCGTGATGTGGGGGTGGGATGAAAGGGAGGCACCAGGTTTAATAGAAGCAGACACAAGTGTTGCTGCATCTGATTGGACACATCTTAACGTCTGTGATGAATGACGCTGATTGTTATCATGCTGACAAGGGGTGGACCTGAATCCTGTTGAGGTCATTTACTGCTCTAACCCTGCACACAGCATCAAGTCAGTCTGTCGGTTTCAGTTTAAGTGTATGAGAAATAAAGTTTGATTGAGTTCACATAGGTTTTAATTTTTAATACCTCGATTTTATGATGAATTTGAGTCAACTACAAAAGTAACTCCAGACTTTGTGCAACAGTGTGATTTTGCTTCGACCGTGTCCATTATTAAACACAAATAATATTATCGATCCCTCTTCTTTTGACTGCTAATTTAATGTTAATTGCTTTAGTTACATTTAAAGCGAGATCAGTCCCCACCATATGTGCTGAAGATGATGTGAGGACCAATACAGTTCAGATGCAGTACAGGGCAAAGGGCCCAGATCAGGGTGGGGATGGTGGATGCTCACGCCTGCTGTCACCAAGGTAACGGGATGGTCCGAAGCCAAGTCTCCTCGCCTGAATGGCCCAGTCTCTACAGGAGACAGACTGTAGCCACACAGGCAGGCCCAGGCAAGGTCATGGTAGGTTAACAAGGACAAGCTGAAACAGGCTGTGTCTCAATTCAGGGTCTGCATCCTACCTCGGCCGGATTCGTCGGCCGGTTACGTCACAGCGCCGCGACTCGGCCTGTCCCAATTCGAAGACTCCTTCAAATGCGGTCGACGAATGCGGCCTTCTTTTCGCCTGAATGAAGGATGGGTCGGGTGTATCCTTCAATAGGTAGCATTTCCCAAGATGCCTTGCGGGCCGGCCGGCAGAAAAACTTAAAAACAATGGCGGACAGTGAAGCGGGAGCTGTCGGAGAGGATTGCGCATATAAATGTAAGTATAAACTTGAAAACTGTCAGTTTAAGGACTTTTTGTGATACATGAACGTTATTTTAGTTAGAAATGTTACAGTAAAAGTGCTTGTATTGCGGTCTCGGCTCGTATGTTCGGCCGCGCTCGGTGTCGTACTTCTCCCACTACGTTTCCCCCTGATTTTAATAGAAGTTTGTATTTTAGGACCAAAAGAGAAAACCAGGGAATTTATTAAGCTTAGGGCGGAGATGGACCACATGATCACCGGAGCAAAGTATTCGGCGGCTGTGGCATGGAGGTACAACAACATCTCATATTTTAAAAACTCGTTTGAGTATATTTTTTTCTGCGAAAACATGAAAGGAATAACCCGTTGTCCTCTTTTCTCTTCCTGTTTCTTTTCTTACATGTTTGTTAAGACTATTCTGGAGAAAATGGGCATCCAGGGGAAGGTGCCAGCGATGAGCTTCTGGAGCTGATCTGGGAGGACATGAGGCTGCAGAGCAGCAGAGAGCACAGGAGAGAAGGAAGAACTTTGACAGCTTTTTACTTTGCTAGAAAAAAATGGTTAATGAAGATTAAACATGTACATATAAAAGAAATATCTAAATAAAATCAGTTCTGCATTAAACTCTTGAATTTTATTTTTGTTTACAAATGAGAATTGTTTACTAGAGGGTATCCGCTGGGTCTTGAAAAGTCTTAAAAGGTGATAAATCGGTTTTGGTCAAATTAAGACCCTTAGAAAGTATTAAAAACTATTATCACATCTTTGCTCAGGCTCAGCCAGTCTAAAGTATTTTCTCTGAATTAGCTCTCCAACAGTCAAGGAAATGATTAACCCCCAGAGACCCACGGTTGTAGTATCACAACATCAGATTTAAGTCTACAAAAATAAACCTTCCCCATTTTTTTTCTTTTTAAAACCACATTTACATTGCTAATAGGTCCTATTCAGTTCTGCAACACTATTGGCTGTTAAAATGTGTAAATAGGCCCGTTTATCTGGCCTCCTAGAACAACATGTGAAAGGTTAAAAATATTTTGCAGTTGTTTTCTAAATTTGGGTTTCTGGGGGTTAAAAAGCTAAATAAAACGTCGAGCTCCATCGTTTAAGGTTCCTTCTGCCCAGCGGTTCCACGGTTGCTAGGCGACGGAACGTTCGCCGAGGGAGTTCATGAAGGCTAGGCCTGTCCAAATTCACAGCCGTTAACATCCGGTCTACCCGGCCGACGGAGGACGCAGCCCACGTCGGCCGGGTGGGCTGGGTCCTTCGAAGGATGCAGACCCTGAATTGAGACACAGCCACAGACTTACTGTACCTGAACAAACCTGCCACACAAAGAGGGGATGGCAGTGATTAGTCTTAGAAATAAGGATTAATAGGAAGATTTAAAGGTGCCTCTGTTCAATGTGGGGATTTGTGTGTGAAACAATTTAAGCCTCTGATCTTGTTTTTCAATAGAAAAAGATCAGGAGAATAAACTGTGGGTTTAAAAAGTAGGCCTATGTTATTATTTTGAATTTCATTGCAACATCTCCTCCTGAAATGGTGAAACGTTCATTGCGCGTTTCACAAACCTCCCTGCTATGGTTTCTCTCACGACGATGAACAGTTTACTGTGCATTTCATTTTTTGCAGTAGCTAGAAAGAAAAAAAACAGGGTGAGATGTAATCTACAGTAGGTAATCAGGTTAGCGCCTGTTGGCGAGCATGTTAGCAGAAGATTCAAAATGCAAGACATTTAAAAGCTTTTATCCAAATTTACTCGTACTTTTGATTTTAGTTTGTTCTGTTTTATATCTGCGCTAACGTGTCAGTGGTCACTCTGTTTTTTGTTTTCCTAGCAGTGGGGATGAAATCCTAGCTAAAACACTTGTTAAGGCTAAGTTAGCTAGACAAGAGAGTGTGAAACTTCTAGAACACGGTGTCCAGACTTCATGAAGAGAGCCCAAATAGTAACGTTTGAAGTCCCTGTGGGCCACAAAATGTGATTATCTAAATAAAAACAAATGCAAACATCATTTTATACAAAATTTATTTATTTCAAACAGGTCCAAAATAGACATAAGTAAAAAAAAAAAAACATAAAATGTTAGAAAGTGTCAGTTTATATCAACAGTCTACAGGCCATGGATGTGCTGTTCTAGAAAGTTCTGGAAGTATTAGCGAATCTTCTCATTTTACATTCTTTAAACATAGCAGGTGGTTTTTGTTATCTGTTTCAGGAGAAAGGTTTAAGGGCTTTTAAAGTTTACGTTCTGAAAACGTTATTACAGATTCAACTTTTAATTCTAAATTGTGTTTACATGACTTTTTGGGGTTATTTCCTGTTCATCATTGTTTAAATTCCTTTGAAATGATCTCACGGCTGACTACCTTCCCGATTGTCTTTACATTCTGCCCTGATATTGCAAAAAATAAAATAAATACAAAAATTGAACACATAGAAAAGTTTTAATAGACTTAGACTATATTTAGTTGGTTTAGATTTGTATATTTAACCAGATGGGAGTTTAAGAGGTGCGGCCAGATATCTCTAGATGAGGGGGTGGGTTATTTGGCACAAAAATGGCTGGAGTGTAGGTAAGTAGTTGATGGCACAGCAAGGCTGGAAGTTTGGGATTAAGAAAGCCAAACACCAGTTCTTGTTTCCGGGGATGGAGAGTTAAAGTCTGGAGGAAGACTGCCAGCAGTAGTGATGGCACCAAATGTCACTGGCAGCCCACACTCAGTTACCACACTAATGCCTGTGTGTGTGTGTATGTGTCTGTGTGTATGTGTTGTAATTAATTATTTCCTAAAGGAAGGAGGGGCAGCATATGGCTGAAATATTTATCTCAATATCGATTCTAATTTGTGTTTAATATAAAACTGCACTTAAAAATAAGTGTGCACAATGTTCAGATAGCTAAAAAAAGTATAATAATGTGCATAAAGTTGTTTTAGAGGAGAAAAGTATATCCCTCGTAATAATAAAGTGTGATGTTTGAATTTATTATTATTATTGTTATTATTATTATATATTTTGTATATTTGTATGCTTTCACTGAAGTGCCAGAATCAATCCATGCTTCTAAGGCAGTTTCAGGGTTAGTTTATGGAAAGCGTCCTTCTGATGATGTGGGCACTTCGGAGAAGAACAATCTTCTGGATTTCTTGGACTGTTGGGTTTCCAGGATTCTGTTTTGTTCTCTTTTCCAGTCCCTTCTTGATGAGGCCAAGTGCACCCACTACGACGGGTATTGTTGTTGTCTTCATCCCCCACAGTCTTGTGACTTCTATTTCCAGGTCCTTGTACTTTGATAGCTTTTCAAGCTCCTTGGTGGTGACATGTTTTTCAGATGGGATGGTCATGTCAATCATGAGGCAGGTCTTCTCTTCTTTGTTTTTGATGATTGTGTCTGGTCTGTTGGCCATGATTTCTCTGTCTGTGTTGATTGGCATGTCCCACAACACTGTTTTCAGTCACTGTTGGTGGTTGGTGGTCATACCACTTATCTGCAGCTGGTAGATGGAAATGTTTGCAGATCTTCCAGTGGATATAGCTTGCTGCCCTGTCGTGTCTGTGGATGTACTCAGTTCTGGCTAGAGTGGGGCAGCCTGAGAGAATGTGGTCAATGGTTTCTTCATATTGGCTGCACATTCTACACATGGGGTCTGTTCCATATTTCATGATCTTGTGGTGGTATGATCTCGCTGACAGGCTCTGGTCTTGTGCTGCTATCAACAATCCTTCAGTTTCTGCCTTCAGTCCTGCACTGCATAGCCACTGATGAGTGTGATCTTGTTCTACGTCTGCTTTTTTTTACTCTTAAGGGGTATTGTCCATGCATTGGTTTTTCCTCCCATGTTTCTCTCATCCTTTTTTGGGCCCATTTCTTTGCCTCCCTTCCCTGGTCCTCTTGGCAAAGCTTCTTACTGTTTCTTTCTCTTTTCTTGCCACATCTGGGATGTTTAGTTCTTGTGCATATCTTATAGCTTCTTTTGTAACAAAGTACAGCTTCTTGCGAGCTTCATGTTATTATTATTATAAATATTATTATTACAATAATTATTATGCATAATAATAATTAATAAGAATAATTATGCATAACAATTATAATAATAAAACAATACATTTTTGGCACTACCCTATAAAATGATAAGTATGGCCTAAATCTGGACAAACACTAACCACGAGGGTTTATGGGTTTATTTTACCGACTCTTCAACGATCTGCTTCTTAATATTCTATCTGTGCATAACTACCTGTTATTTGGTGTTCTGGCTTTTTTATGTATAAAATGAACTGATGCTCTCTCTAGTTGTTGATGTCTTAAATCAAAGTTTGAACAATAAAAGAATAAAATTCTGCAGAGATTGCGCCATGGTGCTGGCAGCATGTCTCCTGGTAAATCCTCTGATAATCACTATTTGTTCATATTCAGCACAGAGGAAGACTCTCGCCCCACTTCCTGCTCTCTCTCTGCTTTTTCCCTCATTAATCACAACCTTATAAGACACTTCACTGCTTCCGCTGTGCCACCCACTTCTCCGTCCACTCTGCTTCTCCATCACAGTTAATCACCTACAATCAGTGGTTGGGCAGATCTCAATTCTCTGATGATTGGTTGTGCTTAATGTGAAGGCGGGGTCTGCACCGATGCATCATCCCAACGCAGCAGCGCAGCAGGAACGATCCTCTCTGACTCTCCCTCCCCCTCTGCTTTCCTCTCACTCTGCCTCTCATACATACGCAGAAGCACAGACTGCAGCAGAGCTCAGGGCCAGCAGGATTTCCTTCCTCCTCATTTTGGAAGCGCTGGGAGACTGGAAACACAGCTACCTGCTGCAGAGGCCGTTTCTGGAGGATCCACTGAGGTGGATCAGACCTGCAAGCTGCTGACTCTAGGTGAGTGTGTGTTAGGTCCACTGTAGGTGTGTTCCACACATTTGAGATGACTGCAGAAGCAGCAGCACTGCAGATACTCCGACCAAAGCTCCTGCTCATCCCTCCCCCCCATCCCCCACTTTCCTCTTCCTCATCCTGTCTTTTTCTTTTGAAACAAACTGGGACTTTACCTATTTTCAAGAAAACTGTGTGGTCCCTGGACGCGTGTGGACAGGGTGGATGTGTGATATGCCAAGCTGATGTTTTCAAACCATCCTCCCTCTGCAGGTTTATCTGGTTCTCAGAGGCAGTTGCCAGGACTCCCAGAAGCACCCATCTCTCCTGCGGGACTTCCCCACTTCCCTCCCTGTCTGTCACTCCTCACTTATGATTAGGATGCTCGGCTGTGCGCCCCTGTGCTGAGGAGGCGTCGGCGGGTAGCAGCATGGGCGCTGTGCTGGCCGGCATCCCCACCACCCCCTCCACCACCAATCTGCCACCACCACGCTGCCCACCGAAGACGGGCGCTCCCCTCAGCCCCGCTGATGGGCGAAGACACTGACGCCACTCCAACGCTCAACCACCACGGCTTCCTCCCCGACCACAACTATGTGACTGAAGGTAAGACACAGAAAGATGATCTTAGATCATCTTATGAGTGGTGCATTTATTTATGGAATTTCTGAAGAATCTGTGTGTGGGGTAGTGTGTGTGTGTGTGTGTATGTGTGTGTGTGTGTAACACAATAAGCTTAAGACAGATCTTCTCTAAGCTCTATGTAGACTTGTTCAGACAGAGCTGGCGACTTTGGAGTGAAATGCAACTTAAATCCTCTCACGCTTTTTAAAAACTTCCTGCCCTGGTCTCCTCATTTGTGTTTTGTTTGTGCTTTCCTAGCTGCTGCTTTACTATGTGTAATGCTGCATTTTGTTTATCAGCAGGAGGGAATTGATCTGGCTGCTGTCCAGTTGTGTTTGTTTGCCTCACATCGTGTCTGAAATCGTAGAAGAGAAAGAGGAATTTCCTCATTTCTGGAGAATTTGATACAAAAAAAATGCAGCTCCTTCCTGTAAACAACCTGAGCTGTCTGCTATCTCTCTCTCCCTCACACACACACATACACACACACACACACACACACACACACACACACACACACACACACACACACACACACACACACACACACACGCACGCACGCACGCACGCACGCACGCACGCACGCACGCACACACACACACACACCCGCTCCACTATATAACAGGTGCATGTGTCTGAATACATATATCAGATATGAGTTGGGGGAACACACACCACCGATCCGACTCTGATCTGGTGTAACCTGCAGTACGTAATGTTGTATAACACCTAATCTTAATATCAACCCAGATTCCCAGCCTGCTCTCCTGCCTGTGTCTTGCAGCTTACTGTTGTCCACGCCTCTCTAAGCACATTGTATTAGACAGCTGTGACAGTGTTAGAAGCTTATTTATGATCCTCATGTTTAAGCTAGCTGTGCTCTTAGCTGTTACACATTTCTAGTTGAATAGAAAAGATCTAGACTGAGGAGACTTTTAATCCTGTCTGTTTTTAGTGAAAAAGCTTTTTTTCCTGCATGTTAGAGTGTTATCCTCTGTAGTTACCGTCATACATTGAAATTTTCTGTGTAAGTGTGTGTATAGCTGTTATTTATAGATGATTTTCAGATGGATGAGTTGCTAAAACGAGTCCTAACATGCACCCAGCTTTCATTGCCATAGAAACAGTCAGCGGTGATAAACATGCTGCTTTTCACGCTTGACCAGTATGATTGACAGCTCATCCCCACCCACCAATAATGACAGTATTAATTATTCCCCACATCCTAGGCAGACATTATGGGTGAATTACTGATGAGCTCAAGGTGGACACACCACAGAGCTCTACTGGTCTGAAAGGACCATCATGTTCGTCAAGTTACCAGCCTAAATATAAACCACATTCAAATAAATCTGATGAGCAACGCATAGTTTTTCTGTACTAAACTAAGAATAAACAACTGTCAACTCCTTTAACCCCCCCCCCCCCACACACACACACACTCACCACCTTTCATCCTTGCTCACCCTCTCCCCACTTCCAACCCCCACTGCCCCATTGCTCCTCCAGTCTAACCAGCAGCATTGTCCAGTGCTGAAGTGGTGCATCTACCAACAGTGCTCTGAGGGCTGCTCAAACACAATGTGCCTCTGTGTGTGTGTGTGTGTGTGTGTGTGTGTGTGTGTGTGTGTGCACGTGAGTGACAGAAATAACCTGGAAGAGCCAGAAAAATGCAATTTATTCTGTGTATGTGTGTGTGTGTGTGTGTGTGTGTGTGTGTGTATTTGTTAAATGTCAGTCCATTATTTCTTTCTTTCTGTATTTCTCATGTTCCATTAATTTCACATGTACAGATGATGTGCAGCTTTCACTTTGTTCAGGGCTGTGTAGACATGTGTGTCTGCATGTATTGTGTGTGTGTGTGCGTGTGTGTGTGCGCGCGCATACACAATAGAATGTCCTGTCGATTTTTCCATAGGGATTCCCCCTGCCCTTTAACTTTTTAGGGGGAGGAATGTTTAACTCCCCCTTTTCTGACCACCCCTCTCCTCCTTCCCTCCCTTTCACCTCTTGTTTTTTTTTCTTCTCACATTTTTACTTCCAATCTCTTTATGCTGCATCGGTCTCTTCCAGCTGGAGTAGCATTGGGTCCAAAGTTGGAAGAGGAAACATTACAGCAGTCCAAATTTGGATCAGTTGGAGTGTGTACGTGGAAAAGCGCAGGATAAAAGTACCGGTCATTAGTCTTGAATACCTCATCTCATTTTTGCATTTTTTTCCCAAGCAGCAGGTTTTTCTTGTAGTATATATATAAATATTTCAGAAAGTCAAGAGACCTATTGATCAAAATAATTTTAAAGGATTACAACAAAATGGCTCATTTAGCACAGTACTGTACCTTTAAACTAGGAGTGTACAAACTTCAGCCTAGTAATAATTCTGCACCAAGTATACAAGTATTTAGCACTGTGAAAAGTTCAAATATGTTTAAGTAACATTTTAAACCCACATTTGACATATTTATACATTTTTTAAGCCTAAAGTGATTTGCGTTTTTCGGTGTTAGGGTTACCATTTGGTTTCACTTTCCACCATGCCCCCTGTAATAACAGTGAATTTAGTTACCAACAGATTAGTTAAATAGGGGGAATTTGGCCCGTCATTTTTGGATTGGTAGAATGTGAGTGAAAGTTCTGCATAAAAAAGTTAGTCTAGTGTCAAACTGTCTGAATTTTACAACATAAACAAAAGTAAAAATGCAAATTAGTCATTTGATAATGGCTGCCTAGTTCGTTCTGAGCCGAGCTGGTTTACACACCTCCTTTAAATAGGGAGCCTAAGTCACGCCCATCTACTTCCGGACCATGGGTCCCCGGAAAGAACGAAAAAATGAATGCAAGTCAATGGGGTTAAAAACGCTATTTTCCAATTCCGCTTGCTATGTGCCATGGATTTCACATATGATGTCCGTGAATTTTAAAGAAGCTTTTTGATACCAAGAACATACTTATTTGCAAACATGGGGAAATGCTATTTTAGGTTTTGGGTGAAAATAAGTCCAGGACTACAAATGCGCTCCATGAAAGTGACGTCATCAAACCAGACATGGAGAAAAACAGAAGAAAAGAACCACTGTAGATATGGCCATTTAGTAAGTAGCAGTTATGCTAAAGGGAGAGCAGATTCGGCAGTGACATCACATATGCGACGTGCCAATGCCTGTTTTGTAGTCATGCTAATTACAATTTTTTATAAGCTGATAAATCTCAAAGTACGTGACTGGCGTGGTCGAAACACACATAATTAGTTTTCACTTAAATGGCAGTCCAATATGTGCGATCCAAGGCGTAAGGCAAAGCGGATTAGAAATTTGCTCTTTTAGCCCCATTGACTTGCATTCATTCATTTTTTCGTTCTTCCAGGGACCAATGAGCTGACTGGAAGGGGAGCAGACTTAGGCTCCCTATTAGCATGAAAAATGTTGGTGCCAATATTACTACCCACAAATTTATGCTAGCTCAAGCCACTGCTAACGCTAGCCTGAGCTACTACTAACTGTAACCAAAGCAATTGCTAATGCTAGCATGAGCTACTGCTAACACAATCTGTAGCTACTGCTAAGGTTCTTTGTTGGATGGGAGAATAACAATAAAGAAGAATGTTGAAACACACATTTGAAGTTCCAGGATGTATCGGGAATTTCCAGACTATGAATGACTGCTAGATAGATCTATAGCTCACCTATTGATGGTAAATAGTAAAATGGCAAATGATCTGTATTTGTATAACACCTTCTTAGTGTTCTACAACACCCCAAGGTGCTTCACAACACAATCATACACACACACACACACACACACACACACTCACACACACACACACACACACACACACACACACACACACACACACACACACACACACACACGCGCGCGCACACACACACACACACACACACACACACACACACATACGCTGGTGGGGATTAACTACAATGTATCCACAGCTACCCTGCAGCCTACTGAGTATTGAGTTATCTGGATACTGTACACAAAATTTCTAGCTTCAGGCAGCACCATAGAGCCATCAGGGTAAACAATTAGCCAATTAGCAAACAGCTCATTTAATTTTTTCAGGGCTCCTGGGCCATTGTGAGCCCCAACAAAGGTTAATACCCTATATTGAAGCTCAAAGAGCAGTTTCTAGTTCAGGCGCCTTTAACCTGCCAACCCAGCTCATGGTAGAAGTGTGCTGCTGACAGATCACATTTTAAAGGGGCAGATAGCCGTACGTCTATGGATCCCCACTTCATCAATAAGAGCTAAGGAGTGGGCTTGGATTTAGTTTTAGTTTCAGTCAGTGTGCAATAACAAACAGGGAGATGACAACATAGAAAGCAAAATGGGAATGTATCCAGTTTGATGTGTGTGTTCATAATGTTCTGGCTGATAGGTGTACCGAATAAAACAGTAATCAGGGTTCCCTTTGATTAAAGCTACTCAAAAAAAGAGTGATACATGATTAATCACAGGGAAATGACCAATGATTGACTAACGTAAACACTCTAGAGGACGGTTATCACCTGTAAATAAAATATCTCATCATTGAGACCAAACAAGATGTAGAATGCTTCTCCATGTCCTCTTTGTGTCTCTCCATCTTCCTGGATATGCTAACCTTCCTGTCACACCCCACCTGTGAATATTTCATGTTCCATAAATTTGATGTGATCATGAACATACTCCTGGCAGGTTATTGTTTTGGTGAGTACTCATGACCGAATGTGGTGATGTAGTAACTCAGTCCCTCCCCCTGCCTCGGTCCACCCTTCTCCCTCACCCTCTGCCTCCCTGTTGCCCCGCTCCCCGTCTTCCCCTCCCGTCCATCGTTGCTCCTCTTACAGGGCTGCTCCTGGCTATAGCCTGAAGAGCTCCGCCCATCCTGTCCACCCCTCTCCACCCTGGAGTCCTCCCCCAGGATGTTGAGCCCCATCCAGGTCCTGTGCTCCGACATCACTACCCTTTCTCTGGAGCCTGAGCCGTTTGCCTCTTACACTGAAGGTGTGTGCTCTATACTCTTCTCTCCCAAAGGTCATATCCCATTTACGCCACATGACCCCAGACTGAGATATGAGAGTGTGTGTGTGCATACCTGTGTGTGAGTGTTTGGAAAGTCATTAAGAGTGTGTGTAGGAGTAGTTTGAGACTGGATAATTGTCTTGTGAGTCTGATAGTTATATATATCTTAAACATCCTTTTGCCTCATCCGTTTAATGTTTATTTTTGTTTCAGTCTGGCTGATTTTGTGTGTGTGTGTGTTGTGTGTGAGTGTGTATGTGTGCCTATTTTTAAAAATCAGTGCAGCCATATGGCATTCCATCCCCGTCTTAGTAATAATGTATTTATTTTACGTCTGTTTAGTATGTCAAAACACATACAGGTGTGTTTATATCCATGCAAACATCACTTTAATACACATTATGTGTACACATCAATATAAACAGTAACAGTAAACAATCTATCTACTAATTCTTTTTATACTTTTAGGAATTTTATAGATTTTTGTTGCATTTGAAAACCAGCAAAATGAACATTTGTGCATTTTATGCTTAAAACAAAAATCCATAAGTCTAAAACATCTGCCTGATCTGCTCCGTACAGAGAGCAGAAAGGGAACGTGAACTGGAGCTAATCCTTTCTTGTAACTCTTCAGTATTCACGAGGCGCCGACTGTCACAGTTTTCAGTATCGCTGGATGACATGGGCATTACCCAGCTGAGCGTTGGGTCTGTTTGCCGTTAGATGGTAGAAATCAGGTGAAAACGTTCAGATAAAATGCAGCTTGGAGATGTCTTTATTCACATGATGTTTTTAGGAGTGGAGCGACTGGATTACTGGTGTGTTTCTGCTTTGCTGAAGCGTGCTTGGTTTTAGGATTCTAATTGTTAGAGCCTATAACCATTAGGCTCACACCAGCTCAACTCCATTGTGCTGATTGTGTTGTGTTTGGAGAGATGTAGCTTCCCTGCTGTGCTGCGATGAAATCACTCCTCTGCACACAGGTGCGTCTCTCAAACGCAAACACAAGCACCATTTTGAAGAAAATAACACCAAAACTGCAGGACAGGGATCAATTCAACATCTCCCTGCGGCAGTTTCTTTCCTTGCTTCCTTCCCTCCCTCCCTCTATCCTGTTTATTTCTCCACAGGGTTAGTGTGCATGCACATTTGTGCACAGGCACATGGGTCTCTGAGCCACAGCATGCAAACACGCGTGCACGCACGTCTCCTGCTGAGAGGAGTCTTGTCCTTGCTTTTAAGAAGTGTGTGTTTTTGGCTCTGCTTTAATGGTCCATGTTTACCCAGAACTAAGATGTCTATAATTGGAACGTCTGCTCCCTCGTCTGTCTCTATAGAAACCCCCCAAAACGGGTTTCCCCCTCTCTGCATCTTTACTGCTGTTTCCTACAAACCTCCGTTGCTCTTCTCTTATTGTGCAGCATTATGGTATCAGCGAAAGTTAAAGTTATTAAATAATCAGCTTGTCTTTTACTCCCCAATTTAAAATGTGTATTTCTTTATAAAAATATTTGATTAAAAAAAATGCAGCGGAAACTCAGTGGTTCAGTTTTCAATTAGCTCTAACTGAACTCTAAAAACATCTCAGTAATCAAGGAGAAAAGCGGTTTTATGAGTTTAAACGTGGAAAATAATAAGTGTTCTTCTGGTTTCTCAAGGATATGACATTTAACTTCACTAGCATGTAATCAACAATTAGAAATGCAGGTTTTACCATAGAGAAATGTAGTTTGCTAAGGTTTTTATTTTTTGAACGAATTAGTCAGCTTTAGTTCACATATGATCAGTGGAGATGTGATGGTGATGGTGGGTGATTCTGGGCTTTTAGCACAGCCAGCAGGTATCTTAAATATGAACGTCTGGATTAAACATTTCTGTTTTTCCGTCACAATCTGATTGTGAAAAACGTGAAGAAGCTAATAAAACACTCATGCAATGATTTTTTTCTTTTGTTCTCCAAATGGTTGTTGACTGCACAGATTATAGATGAACCACAAATAAACAATAGAAAGTTTCTGTTACTAAATATCTTGTATCCATGTAAATAGCCTGCTATTTAATTTGCTGTTATATTTTATTATATTAATTAATTAACGAGGTCAGTTTTTTAATTGGTACTGAGCTGCAGTTTTGAAACACTTGACTGTTCATTTGAATATTTATGTTTGTTTTTCTGTGTGACTAGGTTCATTCTTGCAGTGTGATATGAAGTGCGTTTGTGTGTGTATCTGTGTGTTTGTGTGTTTGTGCGGGGGTCACACACCTTTAGTCCCAGTGAGTTCCTTCAGCTTCTGCACTGTAGCAATGATTCAGAGCATCCTGTTGATGCTAAAAGGCTGTTTGTTGGAGGCAGACACAGCTAGCTTTCGTCCTCTACCACTCAAACGTCTACACCACCTGGTAATGACTCAGTGAGATAACCTGACAGGTTACCCACTCAGACACATTACAGATTCATGCACATAAACCCCTATGGAGCAGAGCCACAGCTCTTGTTTTTGCTGTGGTCTTTTGTCTTCTCATTTCTTCTGTAGTTTTCTTGTAATACTGAGATCAAACGGGACAGATGGGTGTGTGTGTGTGTGTGTGTGTGTGTGTGTGTGTGGGAGAGGCAAACAGAAAAACAAAGATGAGAAGGGTGGTGAGTGAGACAGGATGAAGCTGGAGAGTTTGTGCTCCATATTTTATTCAGCAACATTGTGCTGCTGCTGTGGTTTTGCTTAGCTGAGCTCTTTGTGACCTGACTCGAGACGCAGTTGACTCCCATTATTCCACTCACACACGCACGCACGCACACACGCACGCACACACACACACACACACACACACACACACGCACGTACGCACGCACACACACACACACACGCACACATGCACGTACGTACGCACACACGCACGCACACGCACACACACCCACACACACACACACACACACACACACACACACACACACACACACACACACACACACACACACACACACACACACACACACACACACACACACACACACACACACACACACACACACACACACACACACACACACACACACACACACACACACACCCCTGATGCCCACACCTACAGACACATTGTACTGTGCATGGTCGGACATTGTGCGTGTATGCTCTGATTGTCTGGGGACGTTGTCTCCCTCCCTTGGTGATAATTTAGCTGATATTTTGGGAAGTGGACATCGCTGCAGCAGTGTAATTATTTTACCACGCTGCCTCTTCCTGTGAGAATTGAATTGATGAATCTCACTTACGCCTTCATCATGCTTCCATATACGGTGAATCATTATAAGGGCCACAGCCACTGGTTGGCTCAGTTTGTTACCGTGGCAACCCACACTCACCAGAGAACCCCACCATCTCTCTCTACCACCTCCACCTTCCTATCCCATCACTTCCATTCTTCCACCATCAGCATCACCGCTATGGTACGTGTACCACTGCTTAGCCGGGCAGCAGAGGTTCGTGGGGGAGGGATGGAGGAAAAATGAAAAAAGAATGAATGAGTGAAATGAGGCAAAAAAGACAAAAAGAGGAGGATGAAATGAATCTTGTGGGGAGGAAAAGACAAATAATAACAGTAGAGAAAATACATAAACATCAAGAGAATGTAAGCAGTTAAAGTGTGTGGGGATCAGGGTGAGCAAGGTTGTGTTGGTGGGGAGATTAAAGACAAGTACCTGCCTCCACCCATCATAACATCCCTTCCAAGGCTGAGGCAAAATAGACACAGCTTCAGCGCTCAATAAATACTCTCTAGACTATTTTTAATACAAGCCAGTGAGGTCATCCTTTTGTCTTACAGAACTCGAACCAGCAGATTTTTAAAGCTCTCATTTAAAGATTGGTACAGCTGCAACATCTGTGCAGGCTGTACAGATGTCATTTCTTCTTCACAAGGAAACAAAGTATGAGAAAAATTTTTTCATGATTTTTAAAATTACCTCAAATATTACCACAATTTGGTGAGACAGATACCCCGGAGACACTGACAGTTTTAAATTAGTTGCCAGAAAAACAACAACAACAACAACAACATTTATAATATATTATTCAAATGTGTTTTTGTGTTTACAGGAGTGTATTTAACCTTTCCCAGCAGCATGTCAGGCTTCTTAGGCTAAATCAATAATGAGTCTTTACATTAACATTCTCTGGTGACAGGAAACATTTGTGGAGATGAGCTTTTACACAAAGCTTTAAGATGGCTGGGATAAATACTCAGTGGTGGTCTGCGTCACCTCAGCCCACCGTTTGTGATGGATGCTAAAAACTACACACTGGGTACAATTTAAGATCTGATTCATTTTGACTAATTCTGAATAATGAAGATTCAGAGAAATATAATGCAAGCGGGGTTATCTTCAGTACTGTCACCCTTTTTTACAGAAGGTTTTATTTTATTGAAATCATTTTGAGCTTTTACTGTCACATCCACAAAGCCAAGGCAGTTAAAAGCATCCACGACACTCTGAACCAGAAATCGACGCAGCAGCACTTCAGCAGTGTCAGTTGGACTAAATATTCTCAGTACACTTCTGTGATTTTAAAAACAGGTTTGGAAAAGCCAGTTAAGATGATAGTGGGACTGAGTCTGCAGCCACATCCAGCCTCATGTTAGCTTATTAAATGAGGAGAACTAGCTGGGCTGGTACATGTAAACCCTCCCGAGAGCTTATGTTTATGCTTCACATGCTGTTTGTTAACTTTGAACATAAATTCAACATTCCGTTGGTTTTCTGTTCTTATTGAACACGTTACATAAGAACAGAAAACCAATGGATTTAGAAAAGAAACAGGAAAAACATAACACGGACAAATTCAACGTGGAGCCTTAAAACTTGTTTTTTTTTTATTAACTTTCCACAGTAGCTGCAGCTTCGCATTGGTTGTGTATAGCTGTATAACCTGTTCGTTTTCACACAGAACAAGACCCCCCACACGCACACACACATGTGCACACTCACACACACGCACATGCGCGCGCACACACACACACACACACACACACACACACACACACACACACACACACACACACACACACGCGCGCGCGCGCACACACACACACACACACACACACACATACACACACACACACACACACACACACACACACACACACACACACACACACACACACACACACACACACACACACACACACACACAGCCTGAAGCGCAGAATACGGAATGCAGAATATCAGCAGGGGGCCATGCGTCTGTGACAGTGTGTGTCCTGTCACTGTGACCCGATTGATCATGAGCCCTGACTAGTTGAACCGGGGAGGTCTCTGTTTGACTGACTGGTTAGCATGTGTGACTTTCACCCGGGAGTCTGTGGATCGAATCCCGATTGGGCCATTGTTTAATATCCGCCACAGATCTCTCTGAAGAACTCAGCATTGACGGCTTCAGCAACGCTGTGCCACTCCGTGGATTTTCTCTTATTTGTTTTGCAAAAGCACTTCCTTTCATTTCTCCACCTCACCCACAAGTACCTCAACTTCTGCTTCTGTGAAATTGCGCCTCCTTGATCTGCCTTGATCTACGGTCGCCATGTCATTGGCGGCGCGCTGCAACAGCCGGCTTATGTATATGCATGAGATCCACAAGGCACTTTGCATTGATTATTTATAGCAGTAAGTGGGCGTGGTGAGGGCGGGATGTGACTAAAAAGCAGCTGAGAACCTTTCTAGATAGTTTCTGATTTATGAAGCGGAGATTGCGTGCAGCTGTGCGTACTCCATCTTTGATAGAGCACAAACCTACTTGGCATAAGTAAATTTTTTTTGCTGAGCTTAAGTATGGTTTTAGTAAGGATTCTACGCAATGTTTGATAAATGAGACCCCTGCGCATTATTGTGTGTGTGTGTGTGTGTGTGTGTGTGTGTGTGTGTGTGTCAGTCACAGAGGATCTTTGATAACACCTTCTGCTCTAAACACGTGTGAGTGGTTTTCAGGCCTGTTTTAAATTCTAAATGTTCGTTCACAGGTCTAATTATTTTTACATTCATTTACATCCTGACATGTTCTTCTACTGGATCATTTAGGGTGATGGTGGCACAGGAGTTAAGTGCTTGCCCCATGCAGGTTCAAGCCCTGTTCATTCTGTTGTTGTGTCCTTGGGCAAGACACCTAACCCACATTACCTGCTGGTGGTGTTCAGAGGGACCAGTGGCATGTGTACTGCAGACTTGCCTCTGTCAGTATGCCCTAGGGCAGCTGCGGCTATAATGTAGCTCATCACCACCAGGGTGTGAATGTGTGTGTGGATGGGTGAATGACTGATTGTGTTGTAAAGCGCCTTGGGGGGGTTCCAAAAATCTAGAAGGCGCTATATCAAATACAGGCAATTTAGGTTCAGATAAATTATGTGTTCATATAAAATGATCAGATGTCTAATGGCTATGTTTTTTCTCTCTTTCCCATCCATTTCTCCCCTCAATTTTCTTCTTTCCTCCTCTTTTCTTCCCAATCGGTTGTGTCTTACTGCTTCCAGCTGATATCATCTCCACAGTAGAGTTCAACCACACTGGAGAGCTCCTGGCCACAGGGGACAAAGGGGGCCGTGTGGTCATCTTTCAGAGGGAACCTGAGGTAGGAACAAACATGCTGACTGTCCGCTCACATATGTAAGATGTTTATAGATCTGTGAGAGTAATGATCAGAGCTGGCCCAAGGCAAATGCTAATTAAATGACTGCTTTGGGCCCCCGCACCACCAGGGGGCCCCCAAGAGCACCAAGATGACACGAGGAAACCTTTTTAATAACTTTCAATAATACAAACAAAATAATATTTCACACGAAAAAACGTCAACAGTGTCATTTGGTTTTATTTTGTAGTGCAGCACATTTTACACAAGTTTACATTTGACAACAAAGGATAATAAACCTAACTTTTTACTATAAATTCAGTGTTTGCTGATGTTTTGTTCAAATAGTTAAATTAATACCCCACACTTAAATAACACTTTGCATTTCAAAAAGCTAATTATTAAGAGTGTTTTTGTTGGTTTGCTGCTCTGGTAGCATTGAAATCAATGCCAATAGTAACACCTGTATGATGTAAGCTAATTAAAAGATGCCAATGATACACATGTCACATGTTACACAAAGTGTGTAGCCTAGGAATGATGAATCATCTGGTATTGACTTGTTGGTACGGGGCCCCCCAAACAGAAACCTGTTTAGGGCCTCATAAAGGGTTGGGCTGGCCCTGTCAATGATGAATGCTCATAGGTTTCCTCCAGCCTCAGATTGCTGCAGATTATCTGTTAAACAGAGGTGTGGACTCGAGTCACATGATTTGGACTCGAGTCATTATTTTAACGACTTATGACTTGATTTGATAAAATCTATAAAGACATGACTTGACTTGGACTAGAATGCCAATGACTCGTGACTTGAATCGACTTGCATCTGTTGACTTGATGATGACTTGAGCATATTTGATATTTTAGCACAAAAGTGGCACGACATGGACAAAAATCTGGGTCTGATCTTGTTCTGCTAAATGCAGCAGCACTTCGTTTATAATCAGTTTCAGTCGCACTTTCTGCTTGTTTGAGCAAATAAATGACGCATTAAGAAGCTTTATTCTGGGATTTATTTATTATCATTGTCATTAAATTAAAGTTGGCCAGATGACTTGGTTATGACTTGAAAATTCAGAGTTAAGGACTTGGACTTGACTTGGACTTGATTGTCTTGACTTGTGACTTGCAAAGCAGTGACTTGGTCATACCTCTGCTGATAAATAACTGATTGTCCCAAATCATCCTTCCATCCACATGATAATTTTGTCTGGTTTTCTTTTCCACAGAGCCAAACGGAGCCATTTTCCCAGGGAGAGTACAACGTGTACAGCACCTTTCAGAGCCATGAGCCCGAATTCGACTACCTTAAGAGTTTGGAGATTGAGGAGAAGATCAATAAGATTCGATGGCTGCCTCAGCAGAACGCTGCACACTTTCTCCTCTCCACCAACGGTGAGAACAGAGATGATCTCCCACCTTTACCCCCCTGCCTGAGGGCAGCCAGAGCCTTTTACTGAAACGTGACTGAGCATTTTGAAAAGGTCACAGAGTGGGACACATTTACAGAGGCCTGCAAAAAGCTCAAATGGAGACATAAATTGATGAGAGAACAATTGCAATTTTTAGAATAATATCTGCGTAAATCTTCTGGATGTAACGATAAGTAAAATTACCATTAAACGGAATAAAAAGTGCTTACAAGTTTATTTAGAAATGTCTAAACGTCTTTCCTTCGAATCGATTTGAAAACTTATGGTCAGAGTCAGATTTGACCTAATCTTTTTAGTAAAGTGTGACAGTTTAGTTTTCACAGATCTGAAGCGCGTTAGCATGAAGGTTGTGTAGCTTTGCGGAGAGCTCAGAATTTATTGTTCACCTCGTGAGTTTATGGCTATACTGGTAGATGTATAGGCGCACCCTGAGAGCCCCATTATTGATTTCTTTAACTACTTTATTATTTATAGCTGAGGCGATGAAAAATGTAGGTGCTGCTTCAGCAGTTGTGTGTTGATGCTGCTGAGACTTTCTGTCAGAAGTTTCAGCACAAACCAAAAATCTGTCTTTCAAGTCTGAGATGGACTCGTCTCTTCCGACATTTGTACTTGGTTTGTTTTGAATGCTATACACACTTTTAGGGGTTTGGTCTGATAAAATATGCATTCATATTTAGTCTTTTGACACATTTTTAGCTCTTTCATCAGACTTCTGATATATTTCTGACTAGAAATAATTTTTCTTGCTGTAATACAAACCTTTGATGCTCCGTAGACCAATTATAGAATGCTATTTGGTTAAAAATAACAGTAATGTTTGGGGTTTTCCAATGAACTTTTATCTTGAATAATTGCTGTGTACATGCCACTTTTGTCCACATGGATTAGAGTTGACTAGAAATCAGTGTCGGCCTCTCAAACGTTTGTTTTAACAGAAAATCTTTAAACACACAGAAGCAAAAAGGACCATTTTAGCAGAACTAATAGTCTTTAAGTCTACATTTCCTCATTTTGGCAGCAAAATACACTTTGATTTATCTTGGACTGTTAAATGATTAAAAAAACTTAAATAGGATTTATTAGAGGCCTTTTATGACAAAATAATCCCAGTTATAGTCTGGGAAAGCTAAACACTTGCTTTTTAATTTAATTTGATAATCAGATGAAAATTTCTTGTTATTGATGCAGGAAGCTGCAGCATCCGAGGCTTTTTAATGTGAAAGCTTAATTTCTGATTATAGAAAATGTGTGTGTGTGTGTGTGTGTGTGTGTGTGTGTGTGTGTGTGTGCGTGTGTGCTTTAAGCTGACTGCTCCCTTTGGTTTGTCTTTACACATCCTCTGCCAAAAAATATACCAACTACAGCAAAATCAGAGGAAACAGAGAAAGCATCACATTTCTTTCCTGTGTGTTTTCCAGATAAAACCGTTAAGTTGTGGAAGGTGAGTGAAAGAGACAAACGACCAGAAGGGTACAACCTGAAGGATGAGGAAGGTCGCATCAAGGACTTGTCCACAGTCACCTCTCTGCAGGTATCTGCCTGCATGTCCATGTTTTCAGTGAATGACTGTTTGGGGAACGAAACTGGGTCAGTGAATAAAGCTGTGCTTGCATGTGTTGAAAATGGGTCACTGGCACAAGGTACACACATGAATATGTGCGAGTTAATGGGGGTGGTGAAATCCCCGGCTGTAAGCAGCAAAACGTCTGCACTGGATCCAAACTGGTTAAAGGATCAGCGTCTCTATTAGGAGGTAAATCTCAGCGGTTAGTGACTCACAGTCTGCTCCTGTGGCTCTGTGTGTGTGTGTGTGTGTGTGTGTGTGTGTGTGTGCAGATGTCTGTCTTTGTAGACATCTGGGAGTGTGTTCAAAGTCAGTGTTTGAAGAAAAAAAGTAGCATAATTCCATTTTACACATACACTTTAAGCTATGAGCACAGAAATGCCTTTTTACCTTATTAAAATGTGTGTTTTTGCTCTTTTTTATGCATTATTGATGTTAAACAAAAATGTTAAATGATATGAGAGATGTAATAACATTTTGTTAATTAATAAAAGTGCTGTAGCTCAACATTTTTTTCTAACAGAAGTGACCGTACTCCCCATCTACCTTCCAGGTGCCAGTCTTGAAGCCCGTGGACCTGATGGTAGAGGTGAGCCCTCGGCGAGTGTTTGCCAATGCCCACACGTATCACATCAATTCCATCTCAGTCAACTCTGACTACGAGACCTACATGTCAGCTGACGACCTGAGGATCAACCTGTGGCATCTGGACATCACCGACCGTAGCTTCAGTATCCTCCAGTGCCATCGTCACTATAACAGAGATGGAGGAGGAACCCAAAAGAACAGATAATGATGCATATGTTCACACCTATATGCTTACACACGCTCAGTATTAAACCCTGCCCACACACACACTCATATCAACACACACAGCTCCTACACTCCAAATCACACTTAGATGTACAGAAAGCACGCGCACGCACACACACACACACACACACACACACACACACACACACACACACACACACACACACACACACACACACACACACACACACACACACACACACACATACACACACACACATCACTGGGGGAGGGGAATACAGGTCTTAAGGAGACAAACTATATCCTAATGAATAATTCAGAGCCTGCATAAATATTTCAGCTCCTCTCTGAACTCTAATCCACGTCGGGGACCAAACACTCACACCCCCAAACCAGATGGTTTATTATATTTCTGTACACCTGAATACAGATTTACTTTTCTTCAAACAATCCCCCAAAGCCATGTTTTTATTGGTTTGCTTTATTCTGCTGTGAACAATTGAGTGTGTTAGCTGTGTTTTCTCACACTTATGCTTGAGTTTTACATGGACTTCTACCACTTCAGTGACTTGTTTGTACCCCACTTACAACACGGATGCATAAACAGATGATTAAATTCAGGTGGATCATAGAAGATTAGGCCCGAGGACCCGGTTCTGTTCCATTTTCCTTAGCGACGCCTCCTTCTATTAGACATTGTTGATATCAAACCAGCCAACATGGAGGATCTGACAGAGGTGATCACAGCAGCTGAGTTTCACCCCCACCACTGTAACCTGTTCGTCTACAGCAGCAGCAAAGGCACCCTGCGCCTCTGTGACATGAGAGAAGCGGCGCTGTGCGACAAGCACTCCAAATGTGAGTTAACTTGCTGAGACGTAAACGTTGTCGCATCTTGTTTTCAACTGTGGCTTTAAAACCCACATGGCATTCGGCAGATAGAAAAATTATATTTATTTTTTTGCTCTTTTTCAGGTATTCTTGATTTTAAAGTCAATCCCATGATTTCCACTTTTTATTTTATTTTGACCCGTTATTTCCCCTTTTAGACATTTTTGTAGACTTTTTTCTTTCCACTGCAGCTGATCCTTTCATCCACCTCAAATCTTCACATGTGAACTTCAATGATTCTCACAGGATTAATCCTGAAAGCACGCCTGCACAAATACTAAATTCAGACCTGTGCTGTTTGAGTATTGCGGTTTGCCATAAATCTAAATGGTTTACGATCACAGCACGTGTCTGAGCCTTTAAACGAGGTTTCTTTAGTCATCTTTCAGAGTTTCATTTGGACGCCACAGTTACGTATAAATCTGAGTAAATTTGACTACTAAATTCTTCAGTTTTAGGTTTGGGCTTCTTGAAAGGGCTTCACACATCACATCCTGTTAGTGGCACCTTCAAAATAAAAGTCCCACAAAAGTGGGTTACATTAACCCATATGTGGCTCATTTTATTAACCCTTTAGGCCCTAGGCCTTTTTTCTTTGGGCCCTGGCGCCTCCCAATTGGGGGCCTTTGGAGTTTCATGTCCCAAGTGTCAGTGATTGTTTGCATTCCCCGAGCACGGCTACAGCTACAATCAAACCAGTTTAAATCGTAAAAAAAGCAATTTTTGATTTTTGATACATTAAGATAAAATAATTTAACTTTATTTTAGAAAAGCTGTCCTGTGTGTGAAAGTGCTGACAGGATGGAGGTTGTTTGTTCAAATTCCATTTAGGAAATTTAGTCAATTGTTTTATTTATTCCAGGGGTCCTCAACTAAATTTGTTCAAGGTTTTTTTGTTTGTTTCCAGCAGACACCAGTGAAGGTCAGATGCTCTTCTAAAATAAAGTTCAAATATCATTGTATCTTAATTTATTACAATTTGAAATGGCCTTGCTTCCCATCTGGGCTGTTTGATTGTGGTTTTAGTTGTGTTTGGAGAATGTGGACAGTTGTAGATGTTTGGAACATGAAACTGTAGAGGCCCCCAATTGGGGGGCGTTAGGGTTAAACAGGTTAATATTTTAATCAAATAGGCTGAATCAGCTCCAAATCTTTCAGTTTCGTAAATTAGCTCCTCGTGTTTTTTGTGTTTTGCTGTTTTTTGCTAACGGTATTATCTAAATCATGAATATTAGCTTGTTAGCCTTTAGCTTAAAGCTATATTAGGATATTTAGGCTACTAATTTTAGGAAATTTTATTTGAGATGTTTGCTGTTATTTATTTTACTTTTTCAGCATATGGAAGAGGATTAGTGTCACTGAAATGACATAAAATTAAAAGAAAGAGAATTCTGACTTTTTATTTTTAGAATTCTGAGAAAAAAAAGACATTCTCTTTCTTTTCTGTTCGGTGGCCCTAATCCTCTTTCGTATTACGGTCTGTTTAAAGCTCATTAGTTATTTTACCAGCTGGGTCATCTCAAAAACAGTAAATAAAATGATTTTTTATAAGCATACAGCATGCAGTATTTCTTTTTATTAGTTAAAACATCTTTTGTTTAAACCTTGTTTTTGCCACAAGTCTTTAGTTTTATTAACGTGTCAATAATTAATTTGACACAAATGTTCTCATCACATGCAAGGTCTCCTGTCTTTGCCAGTCCCTTAGTCTTCCTGCTGAAATGTTTTCCATTTAATTTACTGCTCTGACCATGAGTCACTGGTGCAGTGTTCCCGCACAAGCTGTGCTCAACATGAAGCAGGGGCGATCATTGTTTTCATCACTGTCCATTTTTCAAAAGATTTTTAATTAATGTTAGCTAGAATTTCCTGGTGTTTATAAACAGAATCACATTGGCATAAAGCTGAACTCATCATCTTTAAGGCAGCATTGGCTCGTCTTTATCTTCATGTTTTAGAGATAATTGGCATCAGGCTTAACAGCACTCATCCTTCTTTGCTTTAATCTCTCCTAACTGCTGCAGTGTTTGAGGAGCCGGAGGACCCCAGCGCTCACTCCTTTTTCTCAGAAATCATCTCTTCTGTGTCAGACGTGAAGTTCAGCCACAGTGGTCGCTACCTGCTCACTAGAGACTACCTGACAGCCAAAGTCTGGGACCTCAACATGGAGAGCAAGCCCCTGGAGACATACCAGGTGCGTTACTGACCATAAATGACAAACATGGTGGAAGGGACTGGATATAAGAAGAAACACATGAACAGTAATAATGTGGTAATACATTAATAAGGAAATGTCTTCAGGAATGAAGTGTTTGGTTGTAAAATTCTAACTTGATTTTGGTTAATTTCTAGAGATCAGGGGTCATTTTAGGGTACAGTTAGCATGTTGTTGGTCACGTTTTCTGTGACCCTCACACAACACGCTGTTGCTCCACTGTTCTGCTTTCTTAGACTTTGAGGAGATGACACATTAGATAGGAGTTTTGTAAGTTCAAGATCACTATCAAATTTGACAAAACTTCTACAACCAGTTTCCTGTTTCCACACATGAATGTCAGTCAGTGAGAAACAGGTCAGCACAACATCCACAGGTATGGGGACAGCAGTAGCTCAGGAGATTGAGTGGGTTGTCCAGCAATCAGAAGGCTGCAGGTTTGATCCTGGCTCCAGACAAAGAATTCTACTGTTGTGTCCTTGGGCAAGACACTTAACCCGCCTTGCTGGTTGTTGGTGGTTGGAGGAACCAGTGGCGCCTGCACTCAACAAGCATTGCCTCTGTTAGTGTGCCCCAGGGCAGCTGTGGCTACATTGTAGCTCGTCACCACCAGTATGTGAATGTGCTTTGGAGTCCTCTGGTTCTGAAAGGCGCCATACAAGTGCGGGTCATTTATCATGTATCATTATCATTTAGGCCACCATAGCAGTTCTCCTCCACACCTTGGCTGTGCCTAGAAATCCTGTCCATAAAAGTTATGAACAGAATCGGTAAAAAAGGGCAGCCTTAGCGGAGTCCAACCTTCACTGGGAACGAGCCCGACTTACTGCCGGCAATGCGGACCAAGCTCTGACACCGGTCACACAGGGACCTAACAGCCCATATCAGAAGGTCTGGTACCTCATACTCCAAAAGTACCCCCAACAGGGCCCCCTGAGGGACGCAATCGAACGCCTTCTACAAATCCACAAAACACATGCAGATTGGTTGGGCAAACTCCCACGCACCCTCCAGGACCCCCTAAGGGTATAGAGGTGGTCCGGTGTTCCATGGCCAGGATAGAAACCACATTGCTCCTGCTGAATCTGAGGTTTGACAATCCATCAGACCCTCCCCTCCAGAACCCCTGAATAAATTTTACAAAGTAAGCTCAGGAGTGTGATCCCCCTGTAATTGGAACATACCATGCAGTCCCCCTTTTTACGTAGGTGGACCACCACCCCAGTGAAACTGCCCTTGATGTCCACACAATATTGCAGAGCTATGCCAACACAGCCCTACAACACCCAGAGCCTTAGGAAACTCCAAGCAGATCTCATTTGGGGCCTTGCCACTGAGGATTGTCTTGACCACTCCATAGACCTTGACTCCAGAGATTGGAGAGCCCAACCCAAAGTCCCCAGGCTCTGCTTCCTCACTGGAAGACGTGCCGGTGGGATTGAGGAGGTCTTCGAATTAGTCCACCCACCGATCCACAACGTCCACAACATCCAGAGTAGAGGTCACTAGCACACTGTCCCCATTGTAAACAGTGTTGGTAGCGCACTGCTTTCCTGAGGCACCAGATGGTGGACCAGAATCTCCTCAAAGCCACACAGAAGTCTTGCTCCATGTTCTCACCAAACTCCTCCTACACATGTGTATTTGCCTCTACGTCCACCTGAGCTGCATTTCGCTCGGCCTGCTGGTACCTATTAGCTGTCTCTGGAGTCCCACAGACCACAAAGATCTGATAGGACTCTTTCTTCAGCTTGACGGCATCCCTAACCACTGGTGTCCACCAGCGGGTTTGGGGATTGCCACCACGAAAGGCACTGTGGATCCTGCAGCCACAGCTCCGGTTGGCTGCCTCAGCAATGGAGGCACGGAACAGGACCCATCGGACTTAATGTCCTCCGCCTCCCCCAGAACATTTTGGAAGATTTGTTGGAGGTGATAATTGAAACTTCCTCTGACAGTAGACTCCACCAGGCGTTCCCAGCAGACCCTCACAATGTGTTGTGGCCTGCCAGGTCTGATCGGCATCCTCCCCCAAAATCAAAGCCAACTCACCACCAGGTAGTGGTCAGTTGACAGCTCCGCCCCTCTCTTCACCCGAATGTCCAAGACATGCGGCTACAGACCAGATGAGATAACAACAAAGTTGATCATCGAGCTGCGGCCTAAGATATCCTGATGTCAAGAGCACTCATGACACCTTTATGTCTAAACATGGTGTTCATTATGGACTAGTACAGAAGTCCAATAGCAAAACACTACTCAGATTCAGATTGGGGGGCGTTCCTCCTCACCACACCTCTCCAGGTCTCACTGTCGTTGCCCATGTGAACGTTAAAGTCCCCCAGCAGAATGAGGGAGTCACCGGAAGGAGCACTTTCCAGCACCCCCTCCAAGGTCTCCAAAAAGGGTGGATACTCTGAGCTACAGTTTGGTGCATAAGCACAGACCACAGTCAGGACCCGTCCCCTCACATGTAGGCAGAGGGAGGCTACCCTCTCATTCATCGGACTAAACTCCAACAAACAGGCACCAAGATGGGGGGCTACTAGTATACCCACCCCTGCTCTATGCCTCTCAGTGGGAGCAACTCCAGAGTGGTAGAGTATCCAGTCCCTCTTAAGGAAACTGGTTCCGGAGCCAGAGCCATGCGTTGAGGTGAGTTTGACTATTTCTAGTTGGAACCTCTCAACCTTGCACGCCAACTCAGGCTCCTTCCCCACCAGGGAGGTGACATTCCACATAGCGAGAGCCGGCTTCTGTAGCCGAGGATCAGACCGCCAAGGTCCCTTCGGCCACCTCCCATCACACTTTGCATCCAACCGCTTTGGCCCCTCCCACAAGTGGTGAGCTCATGGGACGATCGTTTCCTCTTCAGGCTGTGCCCGGCCGGGCTCCATGGGTAAAAGCCAGACTACCAGATGCTCGCCGACATGCCCCCCCTTCAGGCCTGGCTCCAGAAGGGGGCACCGGTGACCCGCGTCTGGGCGAGGGAACACAGTTTCCATTTGTATTGTTTATCATAAGAGGTCTTTGGGCTGCACTTTGTCGCATATCTCACCAAGATTTCCAGTCTCCAAAATGTGCTTACGCCAGGTCCAAAGATTGCTTAAAGTTGAGCACATTTTTCCATGAAGTTTTCATTTATAAGTCACAAAGTTTGTGTTTGTGTTGTTGAGCATAGTGTGTGTGTGTGTGTGTGTGTGTGTGTGTGTGTGTGTGTGTGTGTGTGTGTGTGTGTGTGTGTGTGTGTGTGTGTGTGTGTCATGTGAGGGCCTATCAGGCAGCCAGGAGTGGGAGGCTAAGATGCACCGTGGCTATTTATAGGCTGCAGAGGTTCCACTCATGAAGTGAAGCAGGAAGGAGGGATACCTTACACAGCCGCTGACACCTAGATCTGCAATGCAGCATGGAGAGGGAGGATGAGGGGGTGGAGCGAGGAGAGGGGCAGGTAGTGTTAGGAAAGATGAAAGAGGGGAGGAGAACAGGGAGAGTAAGAGAAATATTTGTAAAATTGCATATTGTGGGTGAAATAAATACATCTGTGTCAGTTTAGGATTGGTCCTGAAACATGTCCTGAGTGTGCGATTGTGCACAAGCTCGGTATTCTAACTCTTTAACTTTGTTACTGTCCACACTTGACATCATTCAGACATCCAGGGATTAAAACCCGAATCCGAGCTGAGTTCAATGGCAATCAGCAAGACTGGAGGTGAATTTCAGAGCTACTTTATCTATCTTTCTTTGGGGTTGAAGTATTTCTATGTGCACAAATATCAAAGGTGTTCCAGAGTATACAGATTGTTGATAAACCAGGAACACTTTACATATAATGAGTCTACCTCATGTATCACTTTAGTCTACAAGACGGGACAGAGTAGACTTCTTGAGGAAGCTCAGGAGGGAAACGTGTTGGGCCATCACTGATTTGGGTAGCAGCATCAGAGCCTGGGATCTAAAATGGCTCCACAACCTGATAAGGCTGGTTCTGATCTGGGGAAGACTGTGGGAATGATGGTGCAAAAGATTCTTCATAAAATCAAAAACATGATGACAACCCTGACCATACTCTTCATGACACCATCATGCAACAACAGAGCATCTTCAGTCAGAGGCTTCTTCAGACCTGCTGTAACACAGACCACTACAGGAGATCCTTCCTGTTCACATCCATCAGCATCTTTCATGATTCTTTGATTACCAAATGAGATCCCTATTATTACTAGTATTTATTTTCATTATTGATTTGAAGAATGAGTTACAACAACAGTTAATCTTCTGGGATTAATAAAGTATTTTCGAATTTGAATTCAATTTGAAATTAACTTTGCACCATGTTCACATTTTTCCAGATCCACCTGCATCTTTTTACGACAATACAAAATAGTAACACACAGTGTTTGTAATCTGATTACTGATTTGGAAGTATTCATGCCTTAGATTACTTGTTGGTGAGTTGTCACCGGCATTATTGTTTATTGTTATGATGCACAATACACACCTATATATGTACAAAAAGTGAATTTTAAATGACTCATGAGCTTTTTCTCACTGCTATTTGCAGGTAGAAATACTTTTGGTAAAAACTTTTTTTTATTCTTCCAGAAATTTGAGAACTATTCACTAATTTAGAGTCATTGTATAAGTGTAGATGGATGTAAGTGGTGTACAAGCTTGAGCTGACCTCAGCCTGACTGCTTGTTGTTTTGTGGGCTGGTGACTTTCTGCAGAATGTGAAAGGTGGGGTCCTAATGCTGCAGGAAGCAGCAGATTTCCAACGCTTGCATCACCAAACCCACAGATTGCTGATGCAGACAGGTCGAATGGTTAGTGGGAGTGTGTGTGTTCACGTGTGAAGCTTTATTATCGCTCCCTTGGAAGGTGTGATTAAAAAAAAGATGGGATGTTAACAGATTTGGTGAAATGGAAAAAGGGATTAGATTAAGAAGTTCTCCTGGACGTTGGTGTTGATGATAAAGTGCTGCCTTCTGGGAGGTTTCTGTTACATTCATGACTGAACTGAAGCGTGTCCTCTGTCCTGAGCTGCGTGTGTGTGTGTGTGTGTCAGATGCAATTATATTCCTTTGTGTGTATTTATCCAGGTACATGATTACCTCCGCAGCAAGTTGTGTTCACTTTATGAAAACGACTGCATCTTTGACAAGTTTGAGTGTGCCTGGAACGGATCGGACAGGTAAGTAATCCCACCTGCTTCCTGGTTTCTGTGTGTACAGAAATGAAGATTAGCTGATGGGAAAAATGGAAAACCCATGCAGTGGATTTCTATTACGCCACAAATGTTCTAAACCACTCAGTCTCGTTTCTACGTCCCTTTCAAGCAGCCAAATATGTTTTAAAGGGTCTCGGTCAATAAGACTTTAGACTTTCAAGACTGTTAAATAATTATCATTCTCATTGTTTTACTCGAGCTCGATGACATCAGACAACAGGTGCTTCAAAACTAAAAGTGGACAAACAGCAGAAAAGAAAAAGGGTCCACTACCTTCAGGTTATGGGCGATATCTAAAAAGTCATGTTTTCAGGAAAAGTGTTACAAACGGAAACCTGACTCAGGACCAGCTTTTAGATAAAAGGTCTTTGGGAATCACCTTGTTGACAATGAAATGATCATTTTTGTTTTGTAAACTGCTGTTTTTGGTAGATTAAACTGAAGAAACTAGAACACTCTGTGTCTTTGTGACAGACCACGGATACAAAAATGCCTAAAGATCAATTATAAAATAGTTTTGTGCTAAATTATGTTTCATCCAATAAATTCAGGAGCGATTTTATGCTTGAATGACTCAGGTCAGAGTTAAGTGACTTAACTAACAGCCAAAGGAAAATATAACATTCCTGTGAAAAGGGTCAGGTACTAAAAAAAGAAAAACAAACAGTAAAAGTGATTCAGAAAGTCGGTGAAACTGTCTCAGCAAACCATTCCACATGTTGCCTGGCTCTCTAACCACTTTAACATTTTACTGGTTTCACATTAAAACCATCTCTGTTTATCTGAAGAACTTTGTCTGGGCCTGTTTGTATTTTAACGAGAGGAATGAGTTTCCGAGTTTGGCTCCTTTAATTTAGTCATCTGCACTACTCTGCTGACCCTTTGGTGACCCCTCTCCTCCTCTTCTGTCCAGTGTGATCATGACCGGAGCCTACAACAACTTCTTCCGAATGTTTGATCGAAACACCAAACGCGACGTGACCTTGGAGGCCTCGAGGGAGAGCAGCAAACCCAGAGCTGTGCTGAAGCCGCGGAGGGTCTGCGCCGCCGGAGGGAAGCGGCGGAAGGACGACATCAGTGTGGACAGCCTGGACTTCACCAAGAAGATCCTGCACACGGCCTGGCACCCCACCGAGAACATCATCGCCATCGCTGCCACCAACAACTTGTACATCTTCCAGGACAAGCTCAGCTCCGAGATGCATTAATGAACGGACGTCAGAGGTGGATTCAAACCAGTTTACAAGCAAATACAGAGCTACAATAGAATGTACATTATTAGACTCACACAATGGATCACACACCCAGGAAGATGCCTAACACACACACACACACACACACACACCTAATCCCTCACCTCCTCCTCAGCGTCCCACATCTGACAGGGAAACAAGGAACTGTCTGGATTATGGTTTGGAAACGTGTCCAAACTGGAGCTTTTTAATGATTATCCTGTAGATCGTGCTCGGTGGTGTTTTGATTGCTTCAGCTCAGCGTCTGAAGGTCATCAGATCTACAGACTGGAGAGATGTTTACGTTCCTTTGTCCTTTTTGATTTTATACCTCTTCTTTCTCTTCTCCTTCCTCTTCTGTATCTGTGCTCTCATGCAAAGCCTATTCTTATCCCCTTGCCCACCGTTTTGTGTATAAAAATATCTTTGCGCTCGTTTACCATCAGGACTGATGATGAATGGGGCTTTTACATAGCTGTCTTTCATTTCTGATGATATTTTGTTTCTATAGCTTCTTGTTAAAGGATGTTGATGATGGTGATTATGGTGACAACATGAACTAGTTTGTGTAATGTACAAGGATGACCTTACGACCCTCCCCTCATCCCACCAGACGCCTCCCTGATTCAGGAGAAACAGCTGAAAGAGGTGAAGCAGAGGGTTTGTAGAGGAAACACCTACCTGCAGTATGTTAAAGAAACGACGATTTTCTCTGCTGAAAAAGGTCCAAACTTATCCGTTTGCGGTTTCTGCTTCTGGTCCAGGGCTGTAACGTGTGCTGCTTCAACTCTGAACACGTTAAACTCAGATGAAGCAAAAACGTTCGACCACTTTCAACAATCAAGCAAAAAAAGAAAAAAAGATGCTGCATGTCCAACAGATTTATTCTGAGTATTTATAAATTGACTGACAGACTGACTTGGCTGCCTTCTTTAACATTTAGCTGTAGAAAGGCTTCAGGGGCCCCGGGGCTCCGTGCAGCACGAGGAACCATAGGCGACCGAGCCTTTCTGTGTTTATTTGTGTCCTCTGACACTGAAGCATGTTTACCAGTGTTTGGTTTCTACACGTCTACAAACCAGCTTCTGCTCACCGAAAGTGGGAACCAAATAAGGAGCGTTTCAAATAAATGTTGTACTCTGAAAAAGGAGAAAAAGAAAAACATGACGGGCCTGAGCGGTGTCTGTATACATCAGCTCCTTCTGTTTTGTCTGTCGACCGACTTCAGACCCGATCGTCTGTTGGTGATTGCCTCCAAAGCTACAGCAGAGCGATGGCACTTTGTTCTATTTGGCGTTCCTCACTGACCACGTTCGCAGCTGTGCTTTTATTTAGTAAAAGACAGCTGTTTCTTCTTTGATTGGTCTTTTTTTTAAACATCTTTCAAACTCCACCTCATTGAATAATGTTGATTCACATATTTTTGTCTAAATATATGTTGACATGATTGTCAGACAGTTATAAATGATGTTAATATGCTTTTTTTCTGAATAAACAATCCAACAAAATTGCATCCAATGAGGAGATGGTTGTGATTTTTATTGTAGGAACAGCCTTTCAGGCTCTAGTTTTGTAGTGTCAGGTGCCATCTAGTGGCCATTTGGAGTCATTACATTGAAAGAGAAAAATCATTATAAACTTATTTCTTCTGAGCAGTTCTTACTCTCCTATGTATTTGCACAAACCGTCTAGATTCAAAAATAAACTTAACAAAAGAACACATTTAAATAATTTTCATTTATGTGAAAGATGACCACTGATAAGCAAATGATGGCAAACAAACCATCAAAGAGCTCATGTTTTACCCATTAAACATCGATGGTTTTACCACATTTATAGGTCAAAGTACAGAAAACCGTAGTGACGATCAAACTCACATCAGATTTAAATGATCAGTAAAGTAAACCTCTGCACAGCAGAGATGGACACAAACACTGGTGAAGACAACCTAAAACGGGCAGAAAAAACTTAATGGCTGAAATGATCTAAATCAGGTGTTTTATCCTTATTTTTTTAATCATTACTGACTTAAGGCACTTCAACGATGACTTCATGGATGAATGTTTAACATCAGCTAAAGGCTGACAGCAAAGATGTGATCAGCCATGTAAATAAAACTTCCTTCAATAATTACACCAATAAAGTGATAATACTGACTATTTTAGCCTTAGAATATATCAAAAATATTGCCCAAGATACAGAAATGTTTGTTTCAGACAGTGTTTGTATTACAAAGAGGAACTAATCGTTATTACTTGGTTAGTTAACTCTAGTGAACGAGCACCCATGCTGCTTACGTATTGTTAGGCAGGAAAGTTTCTACGCTTTTAGATTTTGGCTCAAAAGCTTTAGGGACACGAACACGTGGATTTGATAAAAGACTGAGGATCTGTCCACTCTTCTAAACCTGTAATTAAGAGCTGTGCTTTACCATCATTAGTGCTCTTCAGCAGAAGAGAGATTTTAATCATCATCTCTCTCTAAAAGGTGCGTTCCCTCTGCCCGTCCTCTTCAGTCTCCGTCTCCGAGTGCTCCTCCAGCCGAGCGGTCAGGAAGGGGCTGAAGAAGAAGTCAAACCCAAACTGGAGGGCACTCTGAGCCGTGCGTCTCCAGTCGTGTTCGATCTTGTATTGCTTGCGGCTGAGGACGCGGGCGTCGCCACATGAAATGCAGTGGATGGCCTTCATCTCAAACACGGGCCACTTGGAGCCCAACCGCCCCTCCAGGATGGTGCTGAACTCCACCAGGCTGCCAGAGTTTAGGTGTAGGAGCACAGACTTGAACTCATTACTTGCTCGCAAGACAATGTCCTTAGTTGCGTCTTCGTCCTCTATGATGGTCCCGTTCTTGGTCTTCCTCTCCAGAGGCATGCCCAGCGTCACCTCAAACTTGTAGCGGTCGAACCGTTTGACGTGGCAGTCGTGCTTGGCCAGTCTTTTGAGTTTACAAAGCGGGTTTTCCACAGGAGGAGCCGGAGCGGGCAGCGGCTGGGGATCAGAGAAGAGTTTCACCTCCTCACATGGTGGGTAGGGTTCCCCGTACAGGCAGCGCATCCAGTCCCCCAGGAAGACGGGCAGCAGGTTGATGACCGACTGTGGCCCGTTCTCAATGTCCGTCACGCGGACGTATTTAAAGCGTCCTGTCCAGGTGACACGGTGTCCTTCGAGATGAGAGCAGAGGACCTGGGTCTGGGCCATGTTGGACTCCTTCCACGCCATCGGCCCACACATGTTGCTGTACTCGGGCCACGTCAGGGGGGAGTTATACACCTTCATACCCTCAGACCTGTAGACGTACATCCAACAGAAGAGCATCACCGCGCTCAGCCACACCAGGATGAGCTTCACAATGCTACTGTGAGACAAAGACCGTAAAACCCTGATGGGGTTGAGGCTGAAGCGGGTCCAGAGCCTCAGCATGACCGGAACGCAGCAGACCACCAGCGTGACCACCATCTTGGTCACCTCCAGAGTGAGAAACCACTGCACCAGTTGGATCATAAGCATCGCGGCTAGGCCCAGCGAGAGAACCGGAAGGGCGAATACAAAGAGGAAGTAGCCCACACAGGTTCGGATGAGTCCTATGGGTGAGGCGTTGTTGAGGAACACCAAGCAGAGCTCACACCAGGTGAAGCAAACGAGGTAGGGCACCAGACAGAGGTAGATCCCCTTAAAGCCTCTCAGCTGGGCCATACGGAAGAGGAGATAGAACAGGTGCCCATACAGAAAGCATGGTATCCCCAGGTTTAACACCAAAACATCTCCTACAGGCACCGTGATGAAGGTCATCCCCAAAACCCGGAGGATCCAGAGGGTTTCCGGCAGCAGCTGAGTGAGGGAGCACGCTCCAGAGAGAACCTCTGTGACGAGGGCTTTGCGAGCAAAGAGCTGAGCAGAGGCGTGAAGGCTGAGGAAGGCCATGGTGGTGAAGAAGAGAGCGACGGCGGCTAGCTCCGAGCAGGGGATCCAGGATTTATCAGCAACAGGGAAGGAAAAAACGACAAAGACCACAGAGAGCAGGAAGTACCTGAGAAAACAGACAGTTTCAAAATAAACTACAAATACAACCACTTTATACTTTCTGTTGTCGTCACAGACGCTGGCCTCTAGGCAGACGCTGTACTCACACCGGTTAAACCAGAACAAAGCTGGGCAGAATTATTCACATGAAAATGAAGGCAAACAAGAGACTAACTTACAGATAAGGTTCCAAGTGTGTCCATCCAAAGTTCGTCTCCGCCTGCTCCAGATCAAGTCCCGGTTCAAAATGAGCCAGCAGGTCAGTGAGAGCTCGGAAACGTTCCCATGCCTTTGAATTCTGTGGAGAGAGGTGGGCTGTTTTTGTCCTTTCCACAGCCAGGTGGAACATTTCATCACTGATGACCAACCTGAAATACACGCAGCGTGCAGATGACCATGGAGAAGAAGGAGAGGTAGAAAATCAGCAGAGGGATGAGGAAGATGAAGAACTCGATTGTGAGGTTGGAGATGACGAAGAAGAAGATGAGTGCGTTGATGTGGTGAGTGGGGATCAGCGCACTGAGCCACTGCATGCCAGCTCGCGACGCCCACTCGATGAGATGCTCCTTTATTTCCAGCAGGGCGATGAGAGGGAACTTCAGCATCTGGAGGGGAACATGAGACTTTTCATTTCACTTTGTTTGAAAAAGCCCTTCCACGAACTTATTGGACGCCCAAGGTGCTGGACAACACAACCATCAATAACAAGTGCAAACCAAACAGCCATGAAAACATAAAACCTAATAAAAAAGACCACATGGCGTGCAGGATAGCGAAGCCACGCCACGACCTTCAGTGAGTCGTCGTGAAACTCTTTGCATGATTCAAACATGTCTAACCTGAATATGGAGCAGAAATAACCTCATGAGGTTTAACAGCAAAAAGCTGATCACCTTCTGATGTAGGGGCAGCTCATCGGGATTCCTCACCACCACATGGTCTTCATCATCATCATCATCCTCAGCAGCAGCCATGACGGGTGACGGTGGAATTCCCTGAGCGTACCTTTTAGTCATCTCCACAAAGTCATCAAGTCCAACATGGGAGCAGGCTGCAAAGCAAAGCCAGATTATTTCTGTAATAATAATAATAATAATAATAATAATAATAATAATAATAATATAACAGAAACCTCCAGAATGACCACATGATCACATAGCAGCCACGTACCCTCGCTGGTGACCATGGTCTCCAGGACTCGCCTCTGCTTCTTAGCAGAACTGTTCAGAGGTCCCGAGGTAGCCGGTTTCCCTGAACAAGAAGATAAAAGGGCAAAATGGAACAAAATAAAACGTTTTTTTTAAAAAGGTAACAATAACAAGGTTTGAAATCTACAGTTTTCGGTTTTGTACCTGGCTCTGCGTGAACATGCTCGACGTTCTCCAGCAGTTCAGACACTGCCACTTTCTTCTTCTTCTCTGGGTTTAGCTTCCAGTACATGAGCAGCGCCGCCTTCCTGACTCCTCTCTCAAAGCGGGTCTCTGTGCACAACCTCTTCACTTGCTCAAAATTCTCCAAAGTAATGCCTGAGGAGCACAAGCAAACAAAACAACACTAACTTCCACAGCTATGCAGAAAACAACAGTACAAGAGCAGCAGCAGCAGCAAAGAGGTTTGGACCTTTCCTGGAAGCCAAGCACTGCTGCAGCAGTTTGACAGCATCTTTGCGGCCCTGTTTAGCAGCCTGGACCAGCCAAGTGACCGCTGTACAGTTGTTCAGTTCTTCATCACCTTCTTCTGCCAGGGCCAGAAAGTAGCGGCCCATCTGGACATGCATGCAAAAATAAGGCGATTAAACTTGCAAGGAAAGCAGCACTGGGATTTACTGACCTGCCCTCCTGCCACCGTACTGCTGACACTTTTCATGACTTAGCCGAGCTGCTCCGTTTCAACCATATGGCTGTTTAAGTCAACAGTATTTGCAATATGTTGGGAGAGACTGACCTTTGTCTGTGCTTTGGCATCGCCTGACTTTGCTTTCTTCTCCAAATCGTCAAAGCCAAACTCTTCCTCTGGTTCATCTAAAACAGAAACAACATTCAGAATTCCCATGAGTCCCAAGAGGAGCCGGTGAGCGAGGCAGCAGCCAGTCGGTGTGTGGGCGGCTATAGGTGTCAGAGAGAATACCAGTCATCTCCAGTTACTGGCATCGAATCCCATCTGGTGCTCCTGCTATGCTGCAGCAGCGTGACCCCTCTGTGTCAGCCCTAAAATAACAGGTTGTTCAGCTGCGGGATTTATTATACATCACACGACTCTAGGGATAAACCTGCTCTCCCTTACATCAGCTGCACCACAAAAGTGTATTTTATCAGCTGGCGGTGTCTCCAGTAATGGTAGATGAGACTAAGTGTACTTTACAGAATGGCTGAGGTGTCAGATGTCACACTTTCCAGGAATACTCCATCTTGATCTCATTGTTAAGACGTTTAAAATTTAAAACACATCTTTCTACAGGAGAAAAGTCATGTCCAACCACACTGCCTGTCCAGAGGAAAGACATCACCTGGACTTAATAAAGTGACAAAATACCAGTAATCAGAATATTTATAAGGTGCTAGAAAATAATTAGTGCTTTTGTTGGATTCCCATTAGGGATGTAAGAAAATATCGATATGGCAATATATCGTGATATTTTTCCCAGCAATATTATATCGATATTCAAAAGCCGTGTATCAGAAATATCGATATGGCAATATATCGTGATATTTTTTCCTGCGATTATTACATCGATATTCAAAAGCCGTGTATCTAATTCCTGAAAGAATTTACATGCAAACATTTGTGTATTTTCTTTTCGTTTTGCGCAATTCAATCGCCACCCGCTAGCTGGCAGCAGTGTGCAGCGGGTTTTGTTTCCACCACTGAAATGTAAATCCCTCCATCATGGTTCAGATACCTCATGTTAAACATGTTATGTATCAGTTTGGACTGTTTATTGAACATTCTTACAATAAATTCAGTAAAAAAAAATTGCTTGTAACGTCTGACTGAATGTATCACAATATATCGTGATATATTGTATCACCTCCCCTGTATCGTGATATGTATCGTATCGCCAGAATTTCAAAAATACACATCCCTAATTCCCATCATCTAGCTCTAGACAACAAATAAACGCAGCCACTGGATATGAATGCGACTTTACAGGTGATTAATGTAGTGATGACACAGCAAGCTCCACTATGAAAAAAGGCAGTCCAACTAGGATATTGGTGTGGGTGTGATTGTTTAGGACTGGGCATTTATTTGAAAGCCACAGTTGATTAACTAAATAAAAAAATAATAGGCCAGACTCTGGGTTTTCCCTACTGCAGCAGGAAGGGAGCAGCTGCTTTTCATATTGTATTAGATGACTGTGGTTGTCATGGAGACACAAAACAGCCTGGAAGTATTGGATTCACTGATTGCTAAGGAAGAGAAACAAAGTTGTGAAGATTTAGACCAAAGGTTTGAGTTTGATCCCCACCTGGTTCAGGTGAGCCAGGGGATTTTGGCGCTGCACCAGCAGCCCCAGTAGCTGAGGAACCAGTGAACAGACTTCCTGTTGATGCTGCGTTGAGCTGAGATCTGCCTGCTTGAGACAGACTTCTGGTGGGACGGCGAGGAGTTGCGGATGTCAGGGAGGAGAGGGAGGAAGAGCGCGAATGGAGAGCTGGACGAGGAGAAGCTGTGATGGGAGAAGATGGAGGGGTTGGGATTGTGAGCTTGGACTTCTTCTGGTCTGTGGTAGCTGAGGAGCCCAGGGAGGATGTTCCTGGTCTCATGGTGGTGGTGGTGGGGGAGGAAGGACTGAGTTTTGGTGTGGGCAAGCTGCCCGCAGGTGAAGGGTCCATGGCTAAAGCTGATCAGATAAAACAAGATGAAGAGTTAAACCGAGATTAGAAAAAAACTGGCTGTATGGGATAACAAGTGAACATGTACACAGTAGCAACATGATTTGATTTCCAGCGCTAATTCTTTATATTTTACTTCTAAAGCAAGCCCATGTTCCTGTAATCTTTAAGTGATCTTGATCAGTAGTTTTTCAGGCTTTCTGGAGGTCTTTCTATGACGTTTTCTGCTTTTTCACTTGTTTTCAGTCTGGCTTCATTCTGCTATGTTTGGGTGTTTTCAGTATTGGTGCACAAAAAAATCAAACATGGCCAGTATTTGTCCTCATGATCACCCTCATTGTTGATAATCCAATCTGAAACAAAATGAAATCAGATTTTTTTTTCAGTCCACGAACTCACCATCCCTTAGTGCTAAATTGTGCTAAGAATAACAAATGAAGTTCACCAGAAGCTATAAAATGTATTCTATGAATTATTGTTCTTTTAGAAATAATGAGCATCGTTCAACAATGGTATCCGCAGGCTGGAGATCTACAGAAACAGAAAGTTGGTAATGGCTCCAAGGACAGCATTAGTGCTTCTTTCATTTTAATGTATTTTTATCTTATTGGCCTTTCCATACACCAAACTCTGACTTGTGAATAACTGAGATAATTAAAGGTTCCTAAACTCAAATATTGAAATGGTGTGGTGTCCACCCACGACAAGGCTGTAGTTGTATAACTCCATTAAAACTGGATCTTTGGACACTTTAGCTACCAGCATACAGTCACAGAGTCACAATTTATTCCACTTTTACATGGCAATATCTTGAAAAGTACCTAAGATGATACAAGTTGACATAGCTACATAAAATAAGATTATAGCACCAGCAATGGAACATCCAAAGATAAAAACCCCGCCATGCAGCAACTAAAGAGTGAGGTAACTCTCAGATCATGGACTGTGAGAATGTGTGAAAAAGCAGTTCCAATCTTTAAAGACCTCCAGAAGGCATGGATAACTATTGGAGAAGCAAAAAAAGAGAAACACCATCTCCTTGAACAGTACATATTAAAACAACTAGATGACCTTCAACTAAACACCTGTTGCAAAGTGCAAAGCTTATAAACCATTTTCACTTCTAACTTGAACACAGCAGTACATCAGATCACAAAGCAAGGGGAAACATCAGTGAAACATTTCCCATAAACTAGAGCGTGCTATAAGAGTGATTACATATAAATAAGTAAAATAGCTTTAGAAATAATAACAGCTTTAAGACGCTCTAAAGAAAGGGATTAGATAGCAGAAGCGTTCTAATAACATTTGTATTTTTTTCGTACCTGTACAGCAACCATGCCACTTAAGGCTCTTTGTGGTTCTGCTGTTAACTTTATAATTTTAACCTTCTGTTATCATCAAAGCTAGAAAGCCGTCATGTTGTCTCTTTAGTCTATTTTAGACATCAATACACAAGCTGTGTTGCTAAACTGAGAAGGTGACATCTTTGAAGCGAGTGGAAATGTTGAGTATCATGTCCCAAGTAAGATGTACAATTATTATACAACATGAAAACAATTGACATGCGATATCTTTAACAGACCAATATATAAAAGTAGCTAAGCAAAGATTTGGCTAACGCTAGCTACTCTCAACTCACCGTTGAAGATAACAAACCGGTTAATTTCAAGGCATTCAAATGAAATGGCTTGTTGAAAAATCTCAGCGTATTTTATTTATTTTTCGAAGTCATTCTTCTTGTCTGGTTCTGGAAAGTCATCATGTTTAGTCATCTCGTTCCTCTCTGTCGAAAAACTATCCACACATTTGGTCAGCTTGATGCTCACGCCTGCATTACATTTTACGAGTTGTGATTGGATAATAATCACTGACACTTTTCTAAACGAGATTTGATTGGTCACAGAAGAAGGAAGTCAAAATGTTTTCTTTTAGGCAAAAATAATCAATCCCCGAAAGGTAGAAGTGATTTTTACTTTTGGCGATAATTTAAGACTACTTCACATCGGTTCACGTTAAAACAAGAGGTACAAATAAAGCTTGTGGTCGTTAACATCTTTGTTGCCTAAATTATTAATTAATTAAAAAATCAATTTCTAAATTTGACCAGCAGATGGCAGTAGATCAGTGGTTCCCAAACTTATTTAGCCGCGACAGACACACCCCCTTCTATGTCCCGACCATGTCGACGCATCCCCCCCCCCGCCCCCACATCGGGGCATGGCTCTCTCTTTCTCTCTCTCTCTCTCTCTCTCTCTCTCTCTCTCTCTCTCTCTCTCTCTCTCTCTCTCTCTCTCTCTCTCTCTCTCTCTCTCTCTCTCTCTCTCTCTCTCTCTCTCTCTCTCTCTCTCTCTCTCTCTCTCTCTATATATATATATATATCAGATGTCAAGCTAAACAGACAGGGTTAAAAAATTTCCCATCACTTTCATTTTTTAAATAGTAATTAATAAACATTCGATACCATTACAATTTCCTTTGATTTCATTTTAAATAAATATTTAGAGTGCCCAGGTAGCACATAAACAATGCAATTTAACGGTTTTCTTAAAGTAGGAACGTTTAACCTGTGGGGCCAGAGCGCTCTCCTTCCTTCTGCTCTGCTTAAACCTGAGCTGATCACCTACTTGTGCGTAATCAAATGCCAATAGGGGACAAGATATAGCCATGATGTTCACTTTTACCTCAGACCGACTTATTGCTGTTTTATGGTGTGGCTGAATCTGAGATCCGCTGTCATGCGGACTGGAACAACAAATGCTGCAGTAACATGAGATGTGGTCAGGTTCATGAGGAGTCACTGGCTGGAGCGGACCCGACTCATCCCAGAAGCTAATATCTTAATTTGACCTTGAATGAAAAATAACCTCTTAAAAGTTTTTATCACGGTGGAGGCAGCGTTCATTTCTGCCTTCAGTCTGACGGCGCGCCGGAGTTAAAGCAGCGTGTGCGCTTATTGAATCTGTGTGCGTGTGTGTGTGTGTGCACGCGCAAGCCAGAGTGCTGAAGCTCGGCGCATTGTTATTATGAAGTTAGGGCACATGCGGAGGACACGCGCGCGCGCGACGGAACATATCGGCGTGCGCAAGCCAGAGTGCTGAAGCTCGGCGCATTGTTATTATGAAGCTAGGGCACATGCGGAGGACACGCGCGCGCGCGCGCGACGGAACATATCGGCGTGCGCAGGCCAGAGTGCTGAAGCTCGGCGCATTGTTATTATGAAGTTAGGGCACATGTGGAGGACACGCGCGCGCGCGCAAAAATATACTTGTTTTCACTTACATTTATTGGGCCCACTTACTTTTTCTTTGGCCCACCCACAAATGAGTTTCTACAATAATGGTGACACATGACAGACTTCTCTGAGCTCCGCAGCCATTACACTTTTTACCTTGCGCACCCCCTAGTGGCAGCTCGCGCACCCCCAGGGGTGCGCGCACCACACTTTGGGAATCCCTGACTGGTAGATGATGACTTTGCTTCTTAACGTTCTCAGACAGGATAAGTGGATGAAAAAGCCAATTTCTAAAGCTGAACCTAGAGAGATTTTGAAAAATCCTGAAAAACTAATGATCAGTTCATTTATTCATTCACGCAATGTAACTGTGCACAGTGGCACACCATCCACCAGTGGCACCAGCCCCCCCTCACCCCCACCCCCCGGTGCCTATCCCCAGCAGTCAACGGGCAAGTGGGCGGGGTACACCCTGGACAGAGAGCCAGTCCATCGCAGGGCACAGTGGCACACATTCTCTACAACTTAACTTTTACTTTCCCTTTATCCTTCTTTTATTCTGTTTGGTTGTAATTTCACTTTTTACATGACCACTGACATGTCTTTTACAAAATATCATCAAGTGCATGCAATGCAATTGTACACAGTTGCACAAATTCTTAATAACGTGTGTATAAAACTGAATATTTTTATGCAATTATAGCACTGTATCAATTAACCTTATACATTTTTATATGATTTAATTCTTCTGTAGAATTAAATTGTTAAAATGCAAAAATTTTAACAAAGTAAAAGTTTCCATGTATTCATTTAAGGAGGTAACAAAAAGCTAAACACACTATGGGATGGGTCAATACTTTTTCACATTACAACATAGAAATAATTTATTGAAACTAATGATATCATTTTCTGATTTAATCAGTCTTATTACCTCTAATTATGACGTGAATGCTCAGGATTTACAGCAATTATGTGTTAAATGCAGCTATTGGGTTTGATTTATAAGTGATGAGAAAACAGCTGTGCATTATTTTATTGAGAAAGAGAAAAATTGGGCAAAATTTATACCTAAGTAAACAATATTTACAGCTTTCACTAATAGGATTTAGTGTTTTAGAGCATAATCACATGATCCAGACTCTACAATGTGAAGATCATGTTTCAATTTTAGGTTTTCTTTGTTTAAAAAGTGTAATGCAGTAACAAAGAACATGCAATACTGCATTTTGATTTGATTATAAAACAGTTTTATTCTTTAAAATAAGACTAGAAGAGGAGTAAAAGCTCACAGGGAAAAAAAGCTGAATAATTCTTAGAAGAGGGGAACCTGGTGAACTGGAAGGATAACAGATTATTACTGGAAACTAAAGACAAATGACTCAGGGGAAATACTTATACTAAAGTCCAAGTTTATGAACAAGAGTAGAAACCAATCTTTGGCAAAGAAGGGAGAATTAGAGCCTTAATTGCCAAACCGTAGCTGCACTTAAATAATTATGTAATTACATTTAGATTAGTAAAACAATAGATGGTAAGCAGCTCCGTTTACTGGTTTTAGTTTTTCATATGGATGCCTCAGATTTTTAAAAACAATCCATTCGTCGGCTGGTCTTTGACACACATGCACTCACAGATCCATTTAACCTAAAGCTGCTGAAGAAGGCATTCATTAAGCTTTTTATGAGCCCAGATCTTCTGATTAGGTTGATCCCTTTAGAGATTTGTTCAGACCCAGACTGCCTTTGCTTGAGACAGTCATGGTCAGCAAGCAGTCATTACTTCCACTCAGTGAAAATTAGAACAAGCTGGGTTTGTGGCTCCCATCTGCGTGTTACCTCTCTGTGTGTGCACCACCTCTCAGAGGCAGCGGCTCAAAAGGCTGCTGCAGGAACTCTGTGACATGACCGAGGCGAGACAGTTTGTCCACGATGTGTCCAGCCCACTCTTTGTTCAATCACCACGCAGCTTCCTCAGCACGTTGTCCTCCAGCAGGAGAGACCTGAGAAGGAGAGGAGGAGGTATAATCGGTAACCATGGCAACTAGCAGTATTTCATGTGAACAAACATTGACTGCAGTGAAGATGAAAATGTCCAACACAAATGCATGTGGACCTTTGAAGTTTGTCTCTGGATTTGCTGCTCATGTTTCCATCAAACAGGAATATGTTTCTATTTTTAGTCACAAACCAACAGTTTTATTTAATAATATTAAAGGAGCAACTCACAATGTCGCCTTTACAGTCGGAGCTGCACCTGTGAGCTGATTACTAACAACAACACAGCAGCCGTCTATTTCTGACAGCTTTTGTTTCAATATAAATCTATTTTCTAAACTCCTGTTGTGTTCACAGGAAATTCCTGCATGTTTAGGAAAACCACAACTTCTTCCTGTGGGTTATTTTTCCTGTTGAGCTCTAAACCTTTCCAAATATTGATTTGCAGCTATTTCTGGAAAGGGTGGCACCACAAAACACAACTAGAAACAAAAGGAAAAGCATCAAGGGTTAGCTCCCTTTGGGTCAGGTTTATTTATCTAAGTTTTGTCTCCAAATAATGAAAATAGGACAGCAAAATATAAAAAGGAGTTTAGTTTGAGAATTTACATTTTTCCTCTTGAAACTAATTAACGCTGGCTCTCACCTAAATGTGCTCACACACCCTTTGGCTACAGGCCTTTCTTTAATGATCGTGGGTGTAGGCAGTAAAATGTAATTTTTTTTAGTAAAACATGGAAACTCCTGTCAAATGGAACATTTGAGTGTGTTTCACAAAAGCATCGCTATTAAACTCTTCATAACAAATCCGGTTTGTATTATTTTAGAGAAATCAGAGACACCAGTGAAGTCATTCGAAATTTGGGCACAGGCACTGCAGAATCTGTAGTGACTAAAAGAGGTGACTCATGCCTGGAAAGCCCAATAACCTTCACATGGAATAATTATGTCACCGTTGGTGTTTGAGTTCAACTTGTGTTAAATAGGCCAGTTTAGACGGTTGCTGCTGAAATCGTCTCCATGAATACTGTTTCATTCAGGGCCTCGTGTGTGTGTGTGTGTGTGTGTGTGCACCTTCTGTGACATCCAGTTGCAATAATTTGATTATTTAATCTTGTTTCAACACTTAAGCCCATCTCTAAAAGCTATAAAGGGTTTAATGTGTGCAGTCATGAATATGATAAGCTCATTGCGGATCACTTGCAAAGATCTGCTGAAAATAAATGTACAACATTCCTAGTAAATGTCTAACTGACATAAAATACAAATAATGTCAGAGGGAAATTCAGCTCTGTTTATTTCCCATTTTAGCTTCTAACAGGGGTGGTTCTAGAGATTTCTAGGGTGGGCCAGGGCCACCCTAACAACATGCTTGGACTCCCTATGCCCCCCCCCCCCCCACCACCACCACCACCATCGCTGAGGGCAGACCCTAAGCATTTAAATGCTTGGATTTGATCCCTCATCATCATTATGCAAGACGTAGAACCAAATCCAGTGAATGTTCTTATCTGAGATTGAAAAGAGATGCTGGCATAACCCCTTTCATGTTTTCACTATGATTGATAATTAAAATATAAATGTGGTTGTTTGATAAATAGTTATAT